GTCACCCCTCCCTGCCTCGTCTCCGAGGCATGGCCTCCCGTATCCTTGTCTCTGGTCTTCCCCGGTCCCTCCCTCCCCTTCCTCCGGGGCCTGCCCCTACCTGCGTCCCCTGTGTCGAGGGGCGGCAGCGTGCTGCCCCTCACTCCTCCCAGTTTCCTCCGACAGAGGCCCCGCTGCAGACGCTTCACATGGACGTGTGGGGCCCGGCCCGCGTCCGTGGACAGGGTCACGAGCGCTACTTCCTGCTGGTGGTTGACGACTACTCGCGTTACACCACAGTCTTCCCCTTGCGCAGCAAGGGTGATGTCACTGAGGTGTTGATCGACTGGATCCGCGCAGCTCGTCTCCAGCTCAGAGAGAGTTTCGGCTCGGACTTTCCTGTTCTGCGTCTGCACTCTGACAGAGGCGGAGAGTTCTCCTCTGGCCTTCTGCGAGCCTACTGTCGTGCACGAGGCATCCGCCAGACCTTCACGCTTCCGGACTCTCCACAGCAAAATGGGATTGCTGAGCGCCGCATTGGCATGGTCATGGACGTCGCCCGTACGTCCATGATGCATGCGGCTACCCCCCATTTTCTGTGGCCGTTTGCGGTTCGGTACGCGGCGCATCAGATCAACCTTCAGCCCAGGGTCTCCATGCCGGAGACCTCCCCAGCTTTGCTGTGGACGGGGAAGGTTGGCGATGCGTCTGCGTTCCGTGTCTGGGGATCTCGGGCGTTTGTCCGCGACTTGTCTGCGGACAAGCTGTCCCCTCGTGCTGCTCCCTGCGTCTTCCTTGGCTTCCCCCCTGACGCGCCAGGGTGGCAGTTCTACCACCCCACCTCTCGCCGTGTTCTGTCCTCCCAGGACGTCACGTTTGACGAGTCGGTCCCCTACTACCGTCTCTTCCCCTACCGCACTCCGTCCCTCCCCCCGCCTCCGCTCTTCCTTGTGCCAGGTCCCCCCCCGGTAGACCCCCTTCCCCCTCAGGGTCCTGCCCCTTCAGGTGTGTCCCAGGTAGACGCAGTCGAGCCTGTGGAGGTCGCTGGTGACTCTGGTGCTGCTGGGGGTGCTGAGCCTGGGGGTGCTGACTCTGGGGGTGCTGAGCGTGTGGGTGCTACGCCTGGGGGTGCTGAGCCTGGGGGTGCTGAGCCTGAGGGTGCTACGACTGGGGGTGCTGAGCCTGGGGATGCTGAGTCTGGGGGTGCTGAGCCTGGGGGTGCTACGACGGGGGGTGCTGAGCCTGGGGGTGCTACGCCTGGAGGTGCTGAGCCTGGGGGTGCGGAGCCTGGGGGTGCGGAGCCTTAGGGAGCTGGGCCTGCTCGTGTGGCGTCTGGCGGTGCTGGGCCTGGAGGTTCTCTGGGTGCTCCGTCTCGACGGGAGCCACTCTCACCACAGGAGGTGCGTGAGTGGTTTGCCCGGCGCTGGAGGCGTGCTGCTGGAGCTGGAGGTTCTTCGGCTGCTGAGGGTGCTGGTGCCACGGGTCCCGGAGGTGCTCGTACTGGGAGTACTGGAGCTGCTGGGCCTGCGGGTACTACTGAAGCTGGAGCTGCTGAGGGTGTTGGCGCTGAGGGTACTGCTGGCGGTACTGGAGGCAGTCCTGCTGGGGGTGCTACTGGTGCTGCTGGGGGTACTGGAGCTGGAGGTGCTGCTGGCGCTGGTGCTACCACTGGGGGTACTGGTGCTGTCCCTGCTGTGTCTGGAGTCGCTGCGCGGCCTCGGCCGTACTTCGTTCCGCTTCTTGAGCAGGTTCTTGGTCTCCCGCCTTCTACTGGTCCTCCTCCTCCCTTAGAGTGTCCACAGCCTGTCCCGTCACAGTTACAGTTACAGCCGGCCTCCCCACTGCCTGCTCCTTCTCCCTACACTGGTCCTACTGGAGGTCTTGCTGAGCGTCGTGAGCCTGCGTCTCGTCCTGCGTCGCCTGTCCGTGCTGCTCGCGCTAGTGGTCGTGGTTCGCGTCAGCGTCCTCCCCCTGTGCCCGGCACGCACCGGATGTCTCTCCGTCCGTCCACTGCTCCTCTGCGTGCCCCTTTGCCTTCTCCTCCTGAGTCCTCTCTTCCTGCTCTTGCTGACCCGGAGTCGGACTCTCTTCGTGCTGCTAGTCCGACTGTCACGCGTCTCCTTGCTACTGTTGTCACTGACCCTTCCTTTGAGTCCACTGCTGCGTCTGCCCTAGTTGCTGAGCTCGTCGACTTTGCTGCTCGCTGTCGTCTAGACTACGCTGCTAGTCTTGTTGCTGCGTCTAAGTCTGTCTGTCCTCCGTCCGTCGGGGGTGAGTGTGCCCTTGGCACGGACGTCCTTGAGGACAGACAGGAGGAGTTCCAGTGTTTGGCTGCTGTTTCACCTCATCTCGTGTCCGTACTGCTTACCCCTGAGGGAGACCCGGATGCACTTGACATCCCGACTCCGCGCTCTTACGCGGAGGCGATAGAGGGTCCCTACTCCTCTCAGTGGCAGGCAGCTATGGACGCAGAGATGGCTTCCTGGAAGTCCACAGGCACCTACGTTGACGAGGTTCCCCCGCCTGGGGCGAACATCGTCAGTGGCATGTGGATTTTCAGGGTGAAGCGGCCGCCGGGTTCTCCGCCTGTCTTCAAGGCGCGTTACGTGGCTCGTGGCTTCAGTCAGCGGCAGGGAGTTGACTACTTTCAGACCTTCTCTCCCACCCCGAAGATGACCACTCTTCGGGTACTGCTGCACATAGCTGCTCACCGTGACTACGAGCTACACTCTCTTGACTTCAGCACTGCTTTCTTGCAGGGCAGCCTGCACGAGGAGATCTGGCTGCGCCGCCCACTTGGCTTCACTGGGACTTTTCCTCCTGGCACCCAGTGGAGCCTCCGGCGGCCAGTCTACGGTCTCCGCCAGGCACCGCGTGAGTGGCACGACACACTGAGGACTACGCTTGCGGCTCTTGGGTTTGCTCCCTCTACTGCCGACCCGTCGCTGTTTCTGCGCACCGACACTTCTTTGCCACCGTTCTACATCCTCGTGTATGTCGACGACTTGGTCTTTGCCACAGCTGACACTGCTGGACTCGCCCACGTGAAGTCCAAGCTACAGAAGAGACACACGTGCACAGACCTGGGTGAACTGCGCAGCTACCTTGGCTTGCAGATCACCCGGGACAGAGCACGCCGCACCATTACCCTGACTCAGTCACACATGGTGCAGCAGGTCCTTCAGCGCTTCGGCTTCACGTACTCCTCGCCTCAGGCCACTCCTCTGCCTACTCGCCACTTGCTCTCAGCTCTGCCTTCGGATGAGTCCGTAGAGTCGAGTGGCCCGTACCCAGAGCTTGTTGGCTGCCTCATGTACCTGATGACCTGCACTCGACCTGACCTTGCATACCCTCTTAGCATTCTCGCACGCTATGTTGCTCCTGGGAGACACAGACCGGAGCACATGGCTGCAGCGAAGAGGGTGTTGCGCTACTTGTGCAGTACGTCGGGCATGGGGCTTGTGCTTGGAGGGCAGAGTCCAGTGGTCCTCACTGGGCACGCAGACGCTTCTTGGGCTGACGACCAGGCTACGCAGCGGTCGTCACAGGGTTACACCTTCAGCCTTGGTTCCGGCTCTGTCTCGTGGCGGGCTACCCGCTCGTCTTCTGTTCTCGGCTCCAGTTGTGAGGCTGAGATCTACGCAGGGGCCATGGCTGCATAGGAGCTTCGCTGGCTCACCTACCTGCTGACTGACATCGGAGAGCCGCCTCGTTCTCCTCCAGTGCTGTACGTAGACAACAAGGCCATGCTGGCCTTGTGTCGGGAGCAGAGACTGGAGCACAGAACGAAGCACATTGCTCTTCGCTACTTCCTTGCTCGTGAGCTACAGCAGCGTGGTCAGCTACGCCTTGCGTACGTGGCCTCTCAGGCCAACACTGCTGATATCTTCACCAAGGCACTTGCGCCTTGTGATCATCAGCGCTTCTGTACTCAGCTGGGTCTTGTGCCTACCTTGCCTCACTTGCTCACCCCTTGACCTTGTTTGTACTGTTACATATATACATACACCTGCTCTTGCTTGTTTAGCCTTATATATATATGTAATCCTGCATGTGAACTGGCCTTGTGGCCTTGAACTTGTGCTCGGAATGTGTGGTGACGTTGTGATCCACCCTGAGCTTGCTTTGCTTTGCTTGACTGGTCTTGTGACCCCTTGTCCTCCCCCACTTTGCCTATGGGGGTGTGTCAGATTTATATGACTTAGCTGCTGTAGGCTATAGTGGGGTAGCACATATGGGGTACAGCTTTCTAGGGTTTGTACTTGTACCCAACTTTCCCTTAGTCTTTTCATTCCTCGTTCATTTTCACAGAACCTCCTTGCCCAATCGTGCCGTCAGGTTCGCGTGGTCCCGACTTGGGATCGACAACCAGCGTTTGTGGGTAATCGGAGTCGGCACGCTTCGATCGGCCATGAAGGAGGCCGACCATTCATGCTTTGCTGCGGTTTTCGACGCCGACATCGCCGCTATCCCGTTAAGAACGATGTGAGCTGTTTCACCGTTGATCAGTTGTCGTTTTTTAGTTGTCGCGACATCGCGTGGTGTTGTGATCGACGCCGTCGTGAATTGCATGTGCAGCCTCGGTCCGCTTCCAAGAACGCACTGCAGCGTCATTGCCATCCTATACCCTGGAGATCTGTTGAAGGCTGAGGGACAGGTGTGCAGGACCTCAATCCGGCACATCGACCCGCAGACCGGTAAAGGGTATCACCGCGACGAGGCCCCCCGCGTGCTAAAGTAAGTGCTGAATTGTCGTCGATGACCCGCTTGTTAGTCGGCGACACAGGGTATCACACGCTGACCGCCTCCCTCCACCGCGGTGCTTCAGGTTCTTCCGCACGGCTGTCCTGGCCGAGCTGGGGCGTCCCGGTAGGATGTGGGACTGGGCGCCGCCATCACAAGCAGTGGTGGAGGTCAGGCTGGCCGACTGCGACCACCCTATCCGCGATGTGAGTTGCACGTTCAAGTAGTAAGGGGGGTGCCCGTTTCTGAATGCTCCGCTCATCATGTTCCGTGCTTGTATGCAGAAAGTGCCGGGCACAGTGTCGGACGGGCATGTCGGTGCCGGCGTGCTTTCCGCGACGTCGTTCGGGTGGGTAGCGAAACAGATCGACCATCTGACAGGCGAGAAGGGTCGTAGTGGGGTGAGCATCGAGAGCGTCGGGATGAAGGGGCTGAAGGCTTTGCGCGACAGCATGGTTGAGTACGTCGGCAAGGTCATTGCCGTAAAACGCACCGCGGCGCCGACTTCTCAAGCCGCCGGACCCGCCGACAGTGCCATTGATGACGACGGCGCGGAAGGACAGAAGGCGCCCCAAGGTGCAGTTGCCGCCCAGCATCAGGGGAACGCGAGGGTGCATGGGGAAGGTGGAAACGGTGGAGGAGGCGACGCAGAGGCAGGTGCAGGAAGGTTGGAAATGGAGAAGTCGTCATCGTCGTCTGAGTCGGAGTCGGAGTCGGAGGAGGAAGACGAGGCGGTGAAGCGTAAGGATGAGGACGAGGAGGAGGAGGAGGAGGAGGAGGATGAGGAGGAGGAGGAGGAGGAGGAGGAGGAGGAGGAGGAGAATAAGGACGAGAATGGTGAGAAGTGGGAGGGAGGGAAAGATGAGGAGGGGGGGGATGAAGAGGTGGAGCTCGTGGTGGAGTATGTAGAGGGTACGGTTGAGGCGGGAGCGGCGGAAGAGGCGGTGGGGTCGGCAGATCAGGGGAATGAGGAAGAGAAGGATGACGGCGCGGGAAATGCTACGAGGTCGGCAGATGTGGGGAAGGAGAAGGGCGAGGTCGGCGTGGAGGCAACGACGGGAAATGGGCAGGATGAGGCGGCCTGCGAGGGAGGTGGGAAGGTGTCGGTCGACGCCGGCGAAGGGGCGAACAACGCGGGCGTGCAGGAGACCGGGGAAGCACCTGGTCGGCAGGGCCCTGAACTGGACGACGTTGAGGAGCTGCGACGGGAGAACTGGTTGTTGCGGGCGGAGAACGCTCGGCTGGCGACGTTGCTCGATGCGGAGCGGGCTCGGCTGGACAGGTTTTTAGTTGGGGTCAGTGGACTCGTCGACCATGTTAAAGGGTTGGCCGAGCAGGTCGACGACACCGAGAAGTATGCCGCGGAACAGCTGCGAAACGCAACGGAGGCCATGTCGAAGACCATCACGGGCAACATCACCGGCAGCTTTGACGAAGCGTGGAAGTCGATGAAGACATTCGCGGAACAGGCGACGGAGTGGTTGGAGGACTTCGACAATCCGGAGGGTCGTGTCGCGTATGCACGGACGTTAGCGGTCTCCGCCTTGGCCGAACACGTAGATTCGGTGGTGGGCGATGCGAAGAAGGGGTTGGAAGAGTACGTCTCGAACCACCTTGCCTCCGCGCAGGTCAACATCGCCACCGCTGTGACCGCCAGGCTCGCCGTGCCGCCGCCGCCACCGCCTCATCCCACGCCGCCCGCCATCCCGGAAGAGCTTTTGAAGTCGTTCAAGGCCGACATCATGAAGGCGGTGACGGAGGCCACCCAGCAGTCTTTCGTTGCTTCCGGGATGAAGATGATGACAGAGATGATCGGCACTGTGGCGCCAGGTCGACGTGGGTCGTCGCCTTCGGCCAATGACGCCGATAACGCGCAAAGAAAAACGGCCGAGAAGCAGGGCCATAAGAGGACGGGCGACGGAGACGACAAGGAGAGCTCGAAGCGGAGCAAGGGAGCGGACGGTAGCCGCGGGTCGAAGCCTGCGCAACAGAGCGTGGTCGACCAGCTGAAGACGAAGGCGGGGTGGAAGGTGGTAAGGACGTCGCACAGCAAGGGAGGCGGAAGCGGGGGAGCAGAGGGTGGCCCTGCCGACGGGGTTGCCGCTAACGTAGCTGCTCCGACTGGCCCGCCTTTGGTCGCCGAGCAGACCCATCCTCAGGCGAGCGGTGGGAAAGGCGTGACCGACAAGGAGGTGCCAACTACTCAGGCGGCGAATGATGGCGACTCCGGAACCACCAAGGGACCGTCCGTCGCGGCGGCGGCCAAGCCTGCTTCTGCTACGGTTGCCGGCACCACCAAGTCGAGTCCCCGTAACCCCCTTGCGGCTACCAGCGCGCCTGCCGGCCAGTCAGGTGCGAACAAAGATGGGGAGGCTGCTCCAGCTCCAGCAGCCCCGGCTGCCGCCAAGGGCGTCGCGAAGGCTGCTTCGGCTAAGGGTGATGCCGTGGCATCAGCTAAGGCCCCCCCCGGTGGTACCGCGCTCAGGGAGATGCTCCGCCGCATGGAGGCACATAGCAGGGACGTGCAGCAGCATCCCGTGGTCGACGCCGGCCTTCCTGGAACAGCACGTCGCTCCGTCACTACGCAGGTTGCCGGCAAGTCGTCCGGTGCCCCACCTGCCGCGCCTCCGGTGGCCGCCCCACCGCCTGCGGACCCCAAGTCCGCTTTTCTTCGCGCCCATTTAGGCGCACGCAAAGCGGCTACTCCGTCAGTGACCCTGCCGGAACTCGGCAAAAGCGCGACGCCGACGTCGGTAAACGCGACCGCACCCACACCAGGTGCATCTGTGGTCGATGTGGCGGCGGAGAAGGGAGTGAGTGCAGCGCTCGCCACCGGCGGCCGCGCAGACAAGCATGCCGACCTCGCTGTCGTCATGGCCCATTTTGAGGCAGCAAAGCGCCCCGAGCACGCCCCTGTTATGGCCATCATGGACACGGCGCATGTGTGCCGTCGGCGACCCACGGAGGGGGTTCGGCGGAGCAGACGGCCGCAACGGCTGCTGTCGCCGAGAGAAATGCTGGACGGAAGGAAAAGGACGACAAGGCGGTCTCTCAGAGGAGCCCGCGGGCGATGTCTGCGGGGAAGTTGATGTCGGAAGAGAAAGGGAAGAAGGCGGAAGGGGAGCAGGACAAGACGGGCGGCAAGGGTAAGCCGGCGAAGAAGAAGGAGAAGGCGGAGGAGGAGGACGAAGAGGGCGGCGAGGGAGATAAAGAGCATGGACGCAGGGGTCATGGCATCCGCCGAGACAAGGCTGGCGACGGGCAAGGGTGGGTGGGCGAGATTAAGGTAAACGGACAGAATCGGTACATCGGCAAGTCGAGGGAGAAGATGGAGCTGGCCTACGAGCACGCGATTGCGTTCGTCGTCTACGACGGCTACGTGAGCAAGGTGCTCATGAAGGAGCTCACCGTCTTGAAGCCGGGGGAGTTGGATAAATGGAAGGAGGTGTGGGCGGAGGTCAAGTTCTTGCCGACGGGGATGTGGACGGTGATGTGGGCAAGAGGCTTGTGCCATCCGAGAGCACGGTAAGACGGATCCTGACGTGCCGAGTTCTGTCGACCAAGTCGTGTCATTACGCTGATGTTGACGAAGTCGTGTCGTTCTAATGTGTTTGCACGGCAGGTTCGACGACATACTCGGCAGGAAATGTGGGTACGCGAGTTCGGGTGATGCGCTTCATGACGTGCTCTGGCCGGCGATCTGGTTCCCCATCATCGAGGACACGGAGGAAGGCAAGGAAGAGACGGACGCTCTCATGTCGGCGATGGTAAATCGCGTGTCGATGTGCGCGGCGTATGGGAAGGTCGCGGCGAGCGCGGCGTTTGGGAAGGTCGATGCGAGCGTGGAGGGGAAGGCGGACGAGAAGACGGAGATGGGGGCCCAGGCGTTAGCGGCATCGGCATGCGCCATCTGGTGCTTCTTGGAGACGGGGGCGTCGGTGCTCGGTGCTGTGGGCGAAGGGAAGGCGGCGGCGATGGTGGCAGGTGCGGGGGAGGCGAGGGCCGAGGACTTCAAGGAGGTGATGCACGCGGTGATCGACATAGCACGCAGTAGGCAGGCTCCCGCTGGGGAGGTTGCACATAACGTCGCGCCATCGCTGCAGAGCCAGGCAGTGGCCAGGGCCTTCGCGAAGGGAGTTGAGGAAGTCGAGGCCGACATGATCGCAAGAGCGACGGTCGAGACCTTGGCGTTCTGGGGAATGTGCCCCGTCGCCGGGCCCAAGCTCAAAGCGCAGGGCATCGATGTGCCGTGTGACGCGAGGATGGAGTACGATATGGATCACAGGGGGAGGAAGGGGGAGAAGGTCAAGCAGAGCAAGGGCAGCAGCAAGAGGAAGAAGGGCAAGCAGGGCAAGGGCAGTACGGATGCGTAGTTGGCGGGATGTGGTGTGCAGGGTACTATTGTATGGTCGGCGCCGATGTCGTAGTAATTCTAATGACTTTTGTATCGTAGGGCACGAATCTTTTTTGTTTTTTAGTAAATCACTGTCCACATTGAAACTTGCTAGCAGACTTTGAACGATGCGCCTTGTCGGCGCATATGTCGACATCAAAAGGAACATGCTACTCGGCGAGCAGCGATGATAGAGAAGGTAGACACATGCTACTCCGCGACGAAATCTGTCGGCGAATATGTCGACACCCTAGCAACATGCAATCCTGCGAGACGTCGACATCGAGCTGTGTTTAGATGTCAGCAAGGATAGTATTTTTGTTTCTTACTGAGCGACCGACTACATTTAACACAGCGGGACCCAGTAGGTTCGCAAGGGCCTTGCAGTGGGTTGTTACAAACTACCGGAACAGCATTTGGAAAAAGAAGGGAAGGGGGGGTGGGGGGGGGTGTACAAATCTGCCACAGTTAACAGCATCGAACTACGCACACGCATATCCTACAGGCGCGATCATGCCGACTTCTTGCGCTTGATCGGAGGACGGTGCACCGGAGCGGTGCTGTCGACTTGGCCGGTGCCGTCGGCTTCGCCAGGTCGGCCTTGGTCTTCGGCATCTGCTCCTCCCACGTGTCTGGAAACAGGGTTTCGACCCAATCACTCTGCTTCAAGTTGAGCGCCACAAGCGCACAGGCGAGGCGTAGCTTCGAGACCACCTTGGGGCCCAGCCCCTTGACTCCCAAACCAGGCTCTTTGGACAACATCGGTGCCGTTCCTGGTTTGAGCACCGTGAGGGCATCGGCGAAGGTCCCGATGCCTGATGCCGCGATCCTGTGCAGTGTGTCGACCACGGCCTCGGTGTCGGCGTCGCCGTCGCTCACGCGTAGCTGGCGCACCGCATCCATGACCTTCAGCATGCGGCGCACCCTCTTGTTGAGTGCACCCTGCGTCGCGCCGGCGAGGAGGGTGTGGCGGTCGATGAACCCCGGCTCGGCCATCCTGTCGCAAAGCCGACGGGTGTCATTAGCGGTGGCGGAGTTCCAGAGGCGCCAGGCGTTCCTCACGGTCTTGGCCTCCCGCCACGGTTGTACCACGTTGAGCTCGTAACTAGCCTCCACGTCCGTCTGTGGGGGTGGCGGGGGTTTGTCGTCCCCTCCGTCGGCGCCGGCTCCCATGTTGGCCGAATCCGCCGAGCCACTCTCGCTGGGAGCTTGCGCGGTAGCACACGGCGGGGCCTCCGGCACTCTCCGTGCTTCTGACACACGGAGTGCCTCGGTGAGACGGGTTATCTCGGCGGTGAGAGACGCGATGGTGTCGTCGCGCTTCTCGAGCTCCTCCAGGAAGTCAATCTTCTCGTTCACGGCACGCTCCATCTCCTTCGTCAGCTTCGCCTTGAGGGATATGTTGTAGTACTCGGTGTCCATGCGGACAGAGATTTCCTGCAGCGGTAGGACAAAGACGTTAGCTGCGAGGTGGTTTGGAATGCCCTACAGCCAGCTCGTCGTCGACTTACCTCTTCCTGAATTTGGGTCGGGTCCCGACGCTTGTTGATCGTCTCGGTGTCGACCCTCTCGACCCGTTTCGCCCAGTGCTGGAAGAGGGGGATCCGGCAGAGCAGGGAGCCTTGGACGTACGGGTGCCATGGTGTGCGGACCAGCTTCACCGCTAGGTCCTCGGCGACGATGCGGCGCAGCATCTGGAGTGTGCGCCAGAAGTGCACCGCGGCTTTGTCGGCGTCGGACCCCTCGGCAGCCTTCCCTTCCGCCTGCAATTCGTCACGTGTATTAGGAGTTCAGACACTGTCGGCAACAAGACTCGGAAACAAGGATACAAGGGCGTCTACTAACATACCGTCTTCAGCATGTCGTCGACACCGGGGAAGATGTGCTCGGCGAGGAGCTTGAAGAGCTTATCGGAGGGCTCCACCCTGCTCCGGCCCAAGAAGTAGTCCTGCTTGTAACCAGAGTAACCGGCCTTCTTCATCACCACCCCCACCGGAATGGCGGTGATGTACGCTCGCGTCATCTTGTCGAGCGCCCAGTGACCCAGCTCCGCGATCTCGGCGCGCGGCGTGCCGTCGATGGCCAGCTCCTGGGCCCCTCCGGCTCAAGCGGCGTGCACGTTCCTCTTACAGAAGACCCCGTTTTTGTCCCACAACTGCCGCGTCCAGCGTTGGTGGCTTGCCGCAGAGAGCTCCCCTTGGTCGGTGTCGTTTTTGGCGAAGAAGAGGTGCTTCTTGTACCAGCTCGCGCGTGTGCTGGTGTCCACCGGCGGAATGAGGCGGACGCCGTGAAACTGGCCGATCTGGTCGAGGATGAAGTGCAACCACAGGCCCGTCTCGCCGACGGCGCACAACTCCGCTTCGAGGTGCCGTGCAGCGTAGCTCTGCTGCAGACGCGCATCCTTGGACGTCTTCGAGTTCCGCGCAGCGATGACCATGACGACCGGCTGGTTCTCCGGGTTCACCGACGAGGTGCTCGCCAGTCGGTACAAGAATATGTCGGGGAGCGTGATCTCGCGGATGCTTGCACCGCGCAGAAGAGAGTGGTGGGAGAGTAGCGTGAGCACCTTCAACAGCAGAAACCGCCATAGCGTCTGCGACGGGCCCGTACCCCGCGGGTTCCACGCCTTGGCCGCCCACGTCGGCAGCACCCTGAACATGATCTGGCGGAACTGCTCGGCGGTGTAGGTATCGCCGATTGTTCCGCGACGCCGATCGGTGCAGTTCCTGCCGACAATGCCGAGGGTGGGGGGCAATTAGGGCGGCGTCGACTCAGTACAAGACAACAAGAGGTTAAACAAAAACTCACTTGATGTCCCGCTCGTTCTTGGTGCGGATCATGAACCGCACCTCCGACCTGACCACCGATATCTCTCGCATGATGCTCAGCTCCGTCTCCCGGTATATCGTCGCCTCCACTCTCGCCGCCATCTGGCATGCCTTTATGCGCCCGAGGAGCGTGTGCACCGTTGTAGATTGCACAGGCTGTGTTCCTGTGGCGTTGTCGCCCTTCTTGCTGGACTCGGCATCGAGATTCAACTCCCGAACCATGTACTTCACGTATGCGCGAAGCCGGGACTTGGTGACCCTAGGGCCGTGCAACCACACGTACGACCGGGGGACATCGGCCTCTTGGTCCCAGTTTTTCTTCTTGTTGTCCCGGATGTAGTGCCCTATCTCGTCGACGTGCTTAAGCCTGTACTCCTGCGGAAGCTTGTTGCGAATTTGCCTCAACATCTTCGCCGCCCACCTCTTGTAGTGATAGATCCACGAGGTGTACTGCCTCAGCGTGCTGTTCCTCTCCACGGTTTGCAGGTGGCGTAGGGCGTCCAAGACGAGCACGTCGATGGTCGCGTACACCATGTCTTCCTCGACGAAGTCTGCCGCCCTCCACTGTTCGCGCGGCACCGACAAATTCTCCTGGTCGGCATCCTCGTCCTGTTCGAGCAGATCATCTATGTATTCAAGTTCCCGCCTGAGCCGTTCTTCCAAGGTGCGCTGACTAGTGCTACGCGGCGGACGCTCGTCGTTTTCGTCATCGCTTTCCTCCTCCTCCTCCTCCCCCCCATCCTCCTCATCGACCTCAACCTGGTTTCCAGAGCCGGCCGGTGCCGACGAAGTTCCTGGCCGTCCATTTCGCGTCGGATTCTGTTTTTTATTCTTGTTAAACTCCCCGATCGGCGGTGGGGGAATGTCCTTGGTGAACTCCCCTTCTGGAATCTGCGTCAGCTTGTCAAGATCGTAGAGTAAGGGGAGCGTCTCTTCCTCGGTAGATGTCGGACTGTGGTCGGTGGATGGTCTAGCGTCAGTCATGTCGACGTCGGCCATGTGGCAGCACGTATGTTGCTCTACCGTCGTCCGTGTGCGATGCGGAGGTCGGTAAACCAGAGACGGTACTGATTCACGGGTGCGGTGTACGACCGAAGAGTAGCGCGGCGGTCTTCCTCTAGATAACATTCAATAACGTCTAACTCGAGTTCGACCACGAGATTCTGGGGGTTGGTAAACCAAAGACGGTACTGAGTCACGGGTGTGGTGAACGCCCGGAGAGTTGCGCGGCGGTCTTCTTCGAATTCTCGGTCGAGTGAGTCTAACTCGGCTTCGACCTCGAGCCGTTCCAGCTCCGCTTTGATGTCGGCGTCTACAGAGTCGGCGGGGTGTGGAATGGGTTGCGACTGTTGGGCTCTAGGGCGACCTCTGGCCATGCGTCGCCGACTTGCACCGATGTTTCGCTAAAACAGCAGACGTCGACGTCGACTACTACTGACCAAGTCGGCAACCGAGTAACCTACAGGCGTGATGATAGACTGGCAGTTGCAAATTCAAGTGCACGAGAGAGCAGGAAGAAACGCAGGAACGGACATGGGAATGAGCAGGCCCGCACGGTCACGGACGGGTATGGTCCTGAGCGACTCCGATGCTGCCGCGCTTCACGCACACCCCTATGCTATTGCCGCCGTGCATGTGTTCTCGCATAGGCGGCGCTCTGCCCGAAGTGCCACGTGCCAAGCATGGCTAATGTTACTTCGCGCTGCACCGAAGGGGCGTAAGCCAGGCCCTTTCCACGGTGGAATGGGCGTGTGTTACGTGGCTTGGGGCCGACATTGGCCTCTCAGTACCGAAATTACAGCATGCCGACCCGAATCTCCCAGGGTCCCGGATTTATTGAAGCCCACCGTGGCAGTCCTAGCGTGGGCGCCCGAAGATCGGCGCCGACTTACAATCGGCGCGCTTGATTGTTTCTTTAGGTTCATTGAACCTAGACAGTGTTGAGATTGTGCTGCGTGGCTTGGTTGTGGGCCTTTGGATGAATTGGTCGACACCGACATCGCGTGCAACTCGCGATGCCACAGAACAGTTACATCCTGGACGGTCCGATTTTTGTCGCGTGGATCGCGCTCTGACGTTTTCAAAGGTGTAAACGTTTTCCCGCTTTGGGAAAATCACCGGCGGAGCGACACGTGGCCACGACGGCCACGTCGTGGCAGCCTAGTACACGGTGGGGACGGTCTGGATCCCTCCTATTGGTCCGCGTGGCGGCCGTCGCGGCTTGACGTGGCGAGCTTTCCTATTTTGTCCGCTGAGATTTACTTCTCAGGAATCTCCCAGCGCAAACCTATGTCGTCGGATTGTCGACATTCCCGAGGGCTCCCGAGGCCCCTGGGACGCCATTTGGGCCCAGTTCGGAGCTCGGAGGTCGTCGCGAGCTCGTCAATCCCGAGGGGGGCCGTTGTCCCTTCTGAACCGCGAAATTGGGCGGCGTCTTTCGTCCGCTGAGGTATATCATCCCACAAACTCAGCGAACCAGGTTTCCCGCCAAACCACTGACAGCAAAAAATCCGCACAAATGGCTTCGCGGCCGGATCTCTTTACACTGCCCAAGCTACACACAACCCAAGCCTGGGAGAAAACACAATGCCGAGCAATTTCCATGACTGCAGCAATTCTCAAGGGCGACAGCAATGTTCGAGGGTGTAAAAGTGTGGCAGCCGAATGCTGCCAAGTACAGCATGATATACCTCAACGCGTGCATTCCCCGCCCGTTTTCGCCGCACAGAACCGACAGGGTTCCATTTCAGCTCGCCGTCCGACCGTCGGAAATTGTATGGCAGACTGGGGCACGGAGCCCTAGGGAACGCCGAACGACCGTCGACATTCCCGTGGGCTGAGAAATACCCACAGAGTATATCTCAACGCGTGGCGAGTTGCCAGCAGGACACGTCGACCGCGGATGCACGACACGCGGCGGGTTACGGACGACCTGGATTATGTCCGACCTCCCTCGAATGTCGGCGTCCACACTGGCGTCCACGCGTCACCCGACCACGCCTCAAGCGTCGCGCAGGAAAGAACGCGTGGGCCGTGAGAATGTCGGTGCGTGACACGCGGCGTCAATCGGCGTCACGGGGTAAGTCTACGTGGAAGAAATCGGCGGTCAAATTGAGCGCTGAAGAGGAACAGGTGGGCACCGAAATGTCGGCGAGCATCGACCGGCGAGGCAGGGTCCAGGTGTCGAGCATCGGCGGCCTGGCACGTGCACAGGAATCAGACGTGGGGGCAGGATAAATGTCGGCGCCGGACACGCGGCGTACATCGAACGGCGATGCCGGGTCCAAGTGTCGAACATCGGAGGACTAATTCTTGCGCGGGAAAACAGAACCCGCGGTGTCCGCAAAGTCGGCGTCAAAGTATCTCGTGATGCCAATCACCGGTGGCACGAGTGTGTCATGAATGGACTCTGGACCAATGCCACAAGCCTCGGCGCGCCTTGTATTGCTGCCGTGGCATGCCTTACGAAATACCTTCATGGACAATCACGGCGGCGTTGTAGTGGCCATGCGAGAGCCGTGGCACGTCGGAGAATGCGCCGCCTCGCGTGGACAGCGGCATGAATGCCAAGTGTACAGAACCTTGCCTGCACGGTGGCATGTGCCGAGCCGCGCACGTCCATGACCTCTCCGGAGCCAAGCTGCCACTAGCCATTTTTCCTACTCCCACTTCCTTTCGTCACTTCTTACGCCTGCGCTCTCACACTTAGTTTTTTTCCACCAGGACACGCTCTGCGGAGAACACCGCGGCTCCGGCGTCTGACGCCGACCAACAGGTGAGACCGATTATCGGGGCACTGGGTTTCGTTGGTCGTAGCAGCCGATTTCACAGTTTCGTCGCCCGTTTTAAACGGGAGGCACAATCGGCCAGATCCGTGGAGAAAGGCCGAGACTGGTTTAGGGTTGCGATGTGCGTGGTCGGCGACCGGCCTGGTGCAACGCCGCCGAAAACAAACCCACCTGAGGGGGACATCGCCGCGCAGTTGGCGCAAGCTTCTCTCGCCGCCCGCTTAGAGACAGACACTAGGGTCACTAGGTCACTAGAAGCGAACACAACGCAGCAACAGTACGCCGCCGCCGTTACCCAATACCGCCATTTTATGCCCGACCCGCCGACCAACTCGCCGGCTGGCCCTCAGTAGACAACAAGCGCTGTTAGGACATACGGCCGAGGCCAACATGTCGGACTACGTTCCGCTGGCAGCCCAGGCGCGGGTGAACCTGACCGGTGACGCCACAACGCCGGCCGGCGTCCGCCCCACCACCATTCCGGCAGTGACGCTGCGTCTGATTTACGATCTAGATGCGTTGGCTAAAATTCCCGTCGACCCTGACATTCCGCCGCCACCTGTAGGCGACCCCCAAAAGCGACGTCCTAGCCAGCCGGAGGAGGACTCTTCGTCTAGCGATGAGGAGGAGGAACCCCAGCCCGGCCCGGGACCTAGACGCCAACGGCGGCCGCTCACTCGAGCCGAGAGGGATCGAAGAGAGATAGAGGAGGCGTTGGCCGAGGACGAACTCGAGGATAGGCTGAACGCGAGCGTCCCGCGAGGAGAGTTTACGACGGCTGAGTTTGTGGTCGAGGATCTGAAGAACAGCGACATCGAAGTGCTGATAGCCAATGCCCTTCGCCACACGGAGACGCTCGAGGAAGGGTCGTCGCTGCGGCAGTACATATCGTGGATACTAGACTACAAGCGGTGGGCGGTGGATGCTCTTCCGTCAGAAGGTGACGACCTAGAGCCGGGGTCCATACTCACTGACAAGGACGAAATCGGCAAGCACATCGGCGATGATTTGGGCGAACGTTGGCACACCGCCCCGCGCCAGTTCATCTGGTTGCACGACCCGAGGACCAACGAGCCTCGAATTCGCGCTTACGTCTTGTTCAGAGCGCGAGAGACCCTCATCGAGGCAATGAGGAGCGAAGAGGGCAACACCGCCATGCGCACGCAGCCGATCAAGCCTTGCACGGTCAACATGCTACTCGGCCGCATCAAGGCCCTTCAGATGGCGGCCAAGATAGAGGCGACCTTGTACAAGGAGAAGGAGCTGCACATCATGCAGGACATCTCGGTCGTCCGCACGGAAGTGCGCGTCATGGTTCGCGGAAAGAACAAAGCCGACACCAAGTAAGATGTTTTAACATCGCCGACTTTGCCAGTCCTCTCTAGTATTCTCGCCAATGCTCACCGACGCCGCTCACACTCAATCATCACCCTCGCACTCTCCTCTTGTGCAGAAAATATGTCGATCGACATCGCGGAACCATCGGCGACACTTACACCACCGAGCAGTTCCGCAAAATTATGTTCAAGGTGTTGCCGCACTGGTCGGCGACGGCGTGGAATCCGGGGGGAACAGGTCCTTCCCAGACTCTGTGGAAGTTCATGCTTATGAGAACGATGACCCTGCTATCGCACCACACTCTGCTCCGCGGTGCCAGCGTACGCGAGATCACGCTCGCCGACATCTTTCTGTACCGCCTTGCTAGCGGGTCGTCGGTGAACCCTGACAACCGGCCAATGGTCATGGTCATCGCGCAGCGCAACTCGAAGACGTGCAAGGACGCCCGTCTTCATCACAGCTACGCGGCGAGGCACTTAGAGGCGGAACTGTGTGCTGTGGGCGATACAATCCTCTGGCTGCACTTCATCTATGACCAGGTCCCCCAGATCTTCGGCGTCCGCATAATTCCGCCGCTGGACGTACGCCGACCGGAGCTCTGGTACGACAAGCATCTCTTCTTCGCCCGCTACGACAAGGATCAGGGTTTGCTGCCGTCGTCGAGCCAGCAACGAATCACTCGGCAGCTGTGGACGGCCAACAAGGTTTTCATCAAGCGCAACGTGCACGCCGCTTGCGCCGGCAGGGCACAAGAGCTGGCTGACCAAGGCACGCCGCGCGCTGAGATAGCCGAATTGGGTCACTGGGCTATTGACAAGATGACGAGGAGTTACATCACTTCAATTCCAGTCGGGGTGGTGATGAGGAAGGCCGGCTACTCCGGAGCCCGAAGCGACTACTTCCTGGGCCGCAGCAGGCTACCTCCCAGCGCAGACCTCGAAAAAACCATCGCCGCGCACATATTTCCCGACGTCGAGGAACAGTTGGGGGCGGTGAGTGTAGCGACGCCGTCCTCATGCATCTTGTCGTCTCTCTTCACTGGTTCACACCGACATTCCTCTATTTCACGCAGGCGGAAGAGCTCGCACAAGGGCCTGAGGCGAACACGGCCGCGGTGCACTTCATCCAGACCATGCTGGATGCACGCCGCACTGCGGCCGAGGACCTCGCGGTGAAACTCGTCCGCACTCCGTGGCACCCTCAGGTCCAGGCTTCGAGGCTTTGTCGGGATCGCGACTTTCAGGCGTGGGCGAAGGACATCGAGAAGATTGACACCGAGACGATCGCCAAGCGCCAGTCGCCGATCCCGACGCAGCCAGCTGTAAGCACAAGATGAACTCCGCGTGACTTGGCGGCAAGCGTGCTTGCATCACCTGACTCCTAACCCGCTCCGCTGCTGTTCGCAGGAAATCTCAGCCCGCCTGGACGCCGAATTTCAGGTCGACCTTCTGAACGAGACGCTGGCCCACGAGAGGCACAAAGCGACGCTCAAGCAGATGAAGGTGGAGAAGGAGCTCGAGGAGGCGCGTGCTGCTATCGCGGCGAGGGACGCCGAGATCTCCCGGCTGATGGAGGAGCTCAAAATCTCCGAGGCACGTAGGGCGCCAGCGCCACAGGCGCCTTCTAGGCCGACGACCCTGGAAGAGGAGGCAGCTGCGGCCGCTAAGCATGCTCAGTTGGACGCCGACGCTTGCTACGAGGCCCTGGTTGTCGACCCATGGAGAAAGGCCGAGACTGTGGCAGAGGCCTGGCGCTTCTGGAACCGCCCCACCACCACGGACCGCCGGCGTCTCTGCGACAGGATCAACGAGCCAGGTTTCATCGGGCGGCACAGCCTCCTGGGCAAGTCGTCGGCCGACGCAAAACAGGGTGAGATGCGCCGAATGAGGAGGGCGATGGGGGTTCGTCGCCGCTTAGCTACTTTCTTTTAGCTCGATTGTGACTTTTGTTTCCGACTTTGACTGTGGATTCAATGTTCCCAACAGTTGAGAATTTGCCAAAGAACCGAAAACATGAGGGCGTTTCATGAACAGCAAATTAACCTACGTGCTAGAAACACAGCAAAAGTGCACAATAAATGTCGGCGCCCACCAAAACCCCACAATCAATCCACAATCTTGCTACACATTGCGACGTCGGTCCAGAACACAACGACAGACACAACAACAAAACCCATCTACGCGGCGTGCTTCCCCTTCTGTCCCTTCTTTCCCCTGTTATCCATATCCTTCTCCATCTGCTTGTCCAGCGGCACTTGAATGCCGCGTGCTCGGAGAAGGGGGCCGCCGGCGTTGCACGACCCCCAGAAAGCGAGGGTCTCGATAGTCGCCCTCGCGATAATCTCGGCGTCGGGTGTGGGGTCACAGCCCTTGCACGCCTTCCGAAGAGCATCCTTCTGCAGTGCGTCGGTGACGTTGCACGAGACCTCTCCCAGGATGGGTTGTCTCGCAACCGCCGTTTCTAGCACCGCAACCACGACATCGTGACAAGTGTCAGCAAAATCGGTGCTCGCTTCACACAGCAGTGCCGCCGCCTTCGTTTCACCCGCCGCATTGCCGACCTCGGCCACGGTCTCGGCGAAGCACCAGACGGCGCAAGATGAAGCAGCGACAGCTTGGCCTATGCGCTTGGCGTCTGCACCAGTTTTGGGGACGGCATCTGCCGCGACTGGCCCAAACTCCGCGCACAAGCAAGCGCGGTTGATGATGTCGCTGAGCTGCTGCTTGCGCTTGGCCGGCTCCCAACCAGTGCCGAACCACACCGCCGGCCTCAGCACTTTCATCAGCGGGGGCCCTGATGACTTCTTCTGTTTGAAGTTGGCGAGGACTTTCTGGAACCTGTCACACACGACGTTGGAACGTGAACGTGGTCAGTCGGCGTAAAACCCCACACTCAAACCTATATCACGCCGCTCAAAACACATCGAGTCCCACGATTCTTACCGTGCACGAAACATGGTGGCGCCGCGGGACCACATCACCGTCCACATACCCTTCGGCATCACCTTCGCCTCCTCCCACTCCGCCTTCCACCGCGTCATTTCTTCGGCTTTAACGCCGGTCATTTCGGCCAACGGGACTTGGCTGGCGTGTCCGTCGAAGATGGTCGTCGCAACGCCGTTGAGGTACACCACTTCCATCCTGTCGTCCGATCTCCCCGTGTAGCGACTCTTTCTAGCCAGGTTTACCTCGCCCTGCCACCCGCCACCGCTCGTCCTGTCCAGCCTAATACCATGCCCCCTGCGATCTTTCGGAACGACGGCCTTCTGCGACGCGGCGGCTTCACCCTTCCGTTTCTTCTTTTTTTCGCCGACTCCAGCCGCACGATCGGTCTGTCCATCCTTGTCGGCGTGTTCACCCACTGGTCCACCGGCCAGAACAGTGGACGTCCCCGCCTGACCCGCCAGGTCTGCAACAGTGACGCCCGCCGACCTGTCCGAAGGCCCGGCCTGGCCGGCCTGAGTAGCCACTGTAACGGCGGTGGGCCGAGTGGACTGTCCCGCCAGACCAGCCTGGTCAGAACCAGTGACGCCGCTCGGGCCGGTCTGGAAGGCCCTATCCACCTGTATGAAGCCGGCAGGATGACTCTGTATGGGCGGAACAGCCTGGACGACCTGAGTAGCCACTGTAACGGCGGTGGGCCGAGTGGACGGTCCCGCCAGACCAGCCTGGTCAGCTCCACTGACGCCGGTCGGGCCGGTCTGGAAGGCCCTATCCACCTGTATGAAGCCGGCAGGATGACTCTGAATGGGCGGAACAGCCTGGCCGGCTACACTGACGCCGGTGGACGCCAAACGGGCCGGCTGCACGGTCTGCCCGGCCTGGGTGGACGCTGTAACACCGGCAGGCCGACCCTCCACGCCACTGATGCCCGACGTACCTCCCACAGACTGAAGTGCGCCAACTTCGTCTGCTTCCATCGCCGCTTGTATCAATTCCACATCCTCGTCCTCGATGATGAGAGGGATCTCCCCCGCACCATCGTCTCCTGCCACCGCGCCCCAATCACCTTGTCCGGACGCCGCGCCGACCTGGTGATGCGTTGGCACCGCCGTTGGAACCGTTTCGTTTGCCGCTTCTTGGTGTACGGGCTCCCCCAAGTTCACCGTGGTCGGCGCAGTGCGCGTGCCGTGAGTCTGCGGTTGAGCGGATTGTGAAGCTGCTGAAAGCGCGTTGACCTCGGCCATCAGCATGTCCGAGACTGGGTCCGACGGCGTGGCAACAGCGGCAGGGAGCTGCATGGTCGGCGCAGCGCTGGTGACAGTAGTTGGCGGATGCGATGAAGGTGCCGCCGCTTGAAACGAGTTGACCGCGACCAGAAGCATGGCCGCGACCGGGTCCGTGAGGGTCTGACCGGCGTTGTCTTGCCCCGTGGTTGGCGCTGCGACGGGCCCAGTTGTCGGCGGATCAGCAGATGGTGCTGCCGTGTGTCGCGCGTTGACATCGACCGAGACCGGGGCTGTTGGTGCTGTACCGGCGACAGGTTGCGCCCCCCCGCGAGTTGTTGGGACAGCAGCGTTGTCGATGGCGACGGGCTGCTGCTGCGATGGCGCCTGAAAAGCAAGAAGCTCCTCCATCAACGCTCTCGCCACGGGATCATCCTCCACGCCGAGATCGCCCGTGTCCTCCACGCCGAGGGCGTCCGTGTCCCCCCCCACGCCGACCACAGGAGCCTGGTGAGTCTGATCGCCGATTGACGGAGCCTCAACTTCGAATGGCGGCCCGCGATCAGCGCCTGTCGGGAACAACCCGGCGTTGGTACTGGCACCGGTCGCCGTGTTGATGGTAGGTATCGCCGCGTCGGCCTGCACTTCAACCGATTCAACGGCTACGTTACCACGATCGGACGGCGGTGGTGCTACCTCGCTTGCTCCAGGACGTGGAATCTCCGGACCTTTCCTTCCACCGCCGTGAGTGGAAGACCCGCCGGCTCGCACACCCTCCTCGGCGGCAGTCCTGCCCTCCGAGCTGCCGCCGGCTCCGCCTCTACTTTGCGGGCCAAGGAGCCGAGTTGTCGCCCCTTTTCTCCTCAGCATGTCGAGGACGGGAGAACCGGACTGGGCACGATCTGGAACGTCGCCGCCGACTGCTCGCTCCCCACCAACACCTTTACTCCGCTTCGAATTTCCCGCGTTGTCGCCGTCGGCTGCACTTCCGCTGCCAGCCCTTTTTTCCGGCCTTTGCCTTTGCGCGGTCTCCAGGTCGCCGGCCGACGGGGACGAACCACGCCGCCCTAGCCTCATTGTAGCAAGCACGTTGGGCAGAAGCGTGAAGCCGACGGTTCCCAGCGCCTGCTGCGTGACGGCGGTTACCGCCTGAACAATGTCATCCCTCATTGCTTTGATGACTTCTTCAGGCAGCGCGGGGGATGGACCGGGCGGGGGCGGCGCGATGCTGCGGGATAAGCCGCCGACGATGTTGGTGGAAGTTGAGGCTAACTTGGTCTGGATGTAATCGGCCAACACCGCCTTAACGTTATCCCCCACGCTGGTCACGTGGTTCCCCAACCGCACGTCGGCATCACGGCGGGCGACGGCCAGCTTGTCCAAGCCCTTTGTGCTTTCCCCCAACAACGGCGTCGCCATGCTGCTGCACGCCTTGACCAGAGCAACCCGATCGTCCAGCACCTTGGTGAAGACGCCGGTCATGGCTGCTGTGGCTGTGGAGATGTGTGTCCCCGCGGTCTGCTCGGCGGCAGCGACGCGTTCGGTAAGCGACTTGACAGCCGCGAGGCACTCAGCCGCCGTCGCCAACAACCCCTCCGTCCGACCCCTCTCGGTAACCAGATCCGACCGCAGCCCCGCATTCTCGTCCCTCAGTTTCCTGTTCTCCTCTTCCAGTCGCTTCACGTGAGCAAGTGCGGCTGCAAACGCCGACTTTGAAGATGTGGTCGACGCAGGCTGACCATGCACCGGCGCCTTCCTACGAGGCTTGTCCCCAGCCGACGCTGCAGTTGCGCCTGTCCCGCCGGTCGACGTCGGGTCACGACCAGCACCGTGGTCGGCGTCTGTGTCCGCCTCAGCACCAACAGCCTTCTTCCCTGCACGCTCCTCCTCCTCCTCTTCATCCTCCTCCTCCTCGGATCCCGACTTTGACTCTGAGTCAGTAGATGACTCCTCAACGGACCCTGCCCTCCGCTCCTCTCCTCCTACCAAGTCGGCCTCGCCACCGCCGCCAACATGACCGCTAGTTCTAGTGTCGTGCGCGCCGGAATACGACGGGCGATCCACGCCAGCTTGAGACGCCGTCTTAGTTTCGATTCCGTCGTCGTCGAGGGGGGTGGTACTTGGCCCAGTAGGGTGATTGGCCGGCGCCGACCGCCTCTCAGCAACGCATCTCTTGATGTATTCCACTAGCGCCGATTTGAGTGCCCTCAACCCCTGAACCATCGGGTTCTCAGCGCTCGCCAGTGCACGTGACTTGAGCAGGGCTCCGCGCTCTCTGACCACCCATCCGAACGCGCTCACAGCATGCAATACGGTGCCGACCTGCTCGTTCTTCACAATGTCCGGCAATCTCTGCGTACAACCGTTGCAAGGGCAGGCTAGGTGAGCCGAGGGTGTACCAACGCAAGCACAGTTAGACGACCAATTAAAGTCGGCTACAAGGTCGACAGAAAATCACGTCACGCGTGGGCCCGTCGCAACCGGCGAGTCGAGCCACCACGACCTCCTCAGCGGGAGGCGCCCACTTCCATGTCCTGTCACTTCTTCCAAGCTCGGCCAAAACACAGCGCCGGAAAAAGCTGCAACAGCAGTGCACGAAAGAGTCAGTGGGGACGCTGTCGAGAAACCAGTAACCTGGTAAAGAGCCTTCCCAATTTAAGCATGCCTACCTCAGCACGGCGAGCGCCTCAGACGAATGCAGCCGGTTTGCAGTCTTCGGGTCCAGGTGGCGGAACGAGGTCTCGCTGTCGACGTCGACGGCCTTCAGCAAGTCGCCGGGCCGAAGAACCACGACGACGCTGCAGTGGACCCCGGGAAGCGGCCCGATCCTGCACATGAACCATGTGACGCCGATATAAAACATCGAAGTCCAACATGACGTCAACGACAACGCAACATCGCGCTTTCTCACGTCGTGATTATAGGTAGCACGGCAATGTCGGCGTCGAACACCGACTCAAAACAGGTGAGGTCGTTCTTCTTAATCGCCTCGCGAAGACGGCTGCACCCTATGATCCACGGCTTCAAGTCCATCGGAGCTTCGCGAATCCACATGTACCTGCAGTCAACGAACTCGTGGGGACATGTGGCATCGGTTCAGGATTGCGAACTCGTTGCCGGCGAAAGTAGATAGGATAGCAGCCTTGAACGCCGACATGGACGCGCTCACGACAAACCTAGGCGTGAAAACCTTTCGTTGACCGAAATCCTATCGACCGGTAGTAACTAATTCTGCAACGTCGAGTCGGCCTGTAGTTACTAAGTCGGCGGAACAATGAGGTTACTAGGTCGGCGGGAAAAAGAGACACGGACGCCGTCGCTTACCCGCACGCCGAATTAGTAACGCGCTCCAAATAATAACATCCTATAGGTCGTCGGGATAAAAAATGACCGCCGGTTCTATGCTGCGAAAATGGCCAGGGGAATTCGTCGGCTGAGCTATATCATGTTGTACTAAGTCGGCGGAACAGTGAAGTTACTAGGTCGGTGGGAAATGGACATGGACACCGTCGCTAACTCGCACGCCGGATTAGTAACTCGTTCTAACGAATAACATCGTCTAGGTCGGCGGGTTAAAAAAGAGCTACTAAGTCGACGGAAAGCAAAAGTGGACAAGGGTTCCGCCTTGACTGAAGGAGAGACTCACTTGAGCGCGACTGCGAAGCAAGGCTCGTTGAAGTCTTTTTTCGTGGCGCGCAGCACGGCGAAGTCCTTCTTGTCAAAAGAGAAGGTGAGGCCACGGCCCATGTTGAAGTACAGGGGGAAGTCCGCCGAGGACGGCGTCGGCGTTGCGGCGCCCAGCGTCGGGTGAGCGGCGCCACTATCCAACTCCATGATTGCAAAGGCACGACACTACAGGCTATCAAAGGCACGACACTACAGGCTATCAAAGGCACGACACTACAGGCTATCTAGTAGCAGCAGGATGGAGGAAGGCGCAGAGGTGAGAAATGTGAAAGGCGAAATGAGAAGGAGCAAAATGAGGCGTCGGTCACTCCGTCCACAAAGATAAGGCACGACGGACGCAGACCAAGGCGGTGGCCAAAACCGGCCCGGAGGTCGAAGTGGCTCGGCACGATGAGCAGCAACCTCGTCCAATCGCATGCTCGTCGGACGCCGGGCCACATCGGCCCCATCACGTCCGCTCGCGTGGGTAGGCGTGGGGTCTGGTGGCATGCAGCGTCACAAGGGCCTGGCATGCAGCGTCGTCCCTGGGCAGACACGTGTCCACACGCCAGCGGGTCGCGAATTGGCCGAGGGTCCCGAGGGGAGCATCAGTATTTCGCCGGGCCCTCGCCTGCCCGTAGGGGCAGCGCGAGAGGGTTACTAGGTCGTCGAGGGCAGGGCCACGGCGAGGGCTGCCTTCGCCCTAGGGTTACTTCCCCTCGCGCGAGGTGAAGCGAGTTCGCCGCCCCCACCCGGTAACGTAGGGTGCTGTTCAATTACGCGGGGGGGTTGAGGGGCGGCGGGCGTGCGCTCGGCCCATCCCTGGGCCAGCCTGGCGGGCAGGCACGCGCGGCAGTTCCCCGCCTCGGCGGTGCTGGGCCCATCGACCTCGTCCGTCGTCCCTGGCAAACTGGGCCGCCGGAACTCTGTCGGATGAACTATTCAGTGCAGGTGGGCGGAAGTCAAGCGCCACCTCACCAACTGTTCGTATTGGTCAAACGCCTCAACCTGCAGCTGGGCGACCAGGTCCTGACGTGCAGCCCAACACAAACCCTCGCGCGAAAATTACGAAACGCAGAACACCGAAGTTCCGACCGCTCGCCGACTTCGCCAACAACACCGACGAAATTACAGCCCCGTAACCAAGCTCGCCGTCCAATCCCGTACCGCAATAATTCTCTGAATTTCACGGCAGGTTCATTTCAAAGGGGTTGGGTTACCATTGAGAAATTCAGAGAGAGTCGCGACTTGGGAGTGCGACTCGATATTTGAATGTGCTCTATAAAATTGTACTGTGAAATTTGTGAAGTCATAGTGCAATTTCCAGAGAACTCCAGAGAGCACTCCATCCTCGTTTTCCTAGCCTACTAAGGCTGCTAGTTCCCTGCCAGCAACGTTTCACTGGTAATCAGAGCTTGGTTAGTTATTTCGCACGCTCCCGCCATATTCTAGACCCTATGGCCGGACCGTCTGATATGACGCCGGAACTCTGGAACGAATTTGTGGCGAATATGCGCCGAGAAATTGAACGCGAGGTGCGTGACCGGATCCTCGGCGAACTCCAGGAACGTGGACTCCTGGGCACACAGGTGCCGACGCCAGCACCTGCTGTGGTTTCTGCACGACCCAAAGCACCCGAACCTGAGTCGTTCATCCCTGGAAAACGTCACTTACCGGTGCGACGGTGGCTTTTCCAAGTGGAGGAATACCTCTCCCTTTGTCATGTCAACCGGGCGGAGTGGGCTCGGCACGCCGGCATGTTGCTGAGGGGTGCATCTGCTACTTGGTGGCAGAGTTGCCATGCTACGATTTCAACTTGGGAAGAGTTTTCTGCATCGCTATTAATGAACTTCGAGCCGGTCAACTCCATCGAGCGCGCACGTGACAACCTCGCTGAATTACGCCAACATCGCTCGGTCGCTGAGTACATCAACCGCTTCCGCGAGCTCGTGCTTGAGATCCCTGACATCCCTGCTGCTGAACAGATGGACAAATTCAAGCGTGGGCTGAAGCCGAAAATCCGCACCGAGGTCGAACTCCGCGGCGCTACGACGTTGGATGAGATGATTCGTGTCGCCGAGCGTTTTGACACCATCAACTTTGCAGCATACCAGCGATTCCAAGGACGAACCGGGCAGCACACCACTGCTGGACCTACCTACCGCACCAACGGTCCTTCTCCCATGGAGCTCGGTGTGGTGGAACAGCGTGCACGCAACCAGTCCACGCTTACGTGCTACTCGTGCGGGAAAGTCGGCCACATCAAGCGACATTGCCCGAACCGCCGCAACTTCGAAAGGTCTCCGGGAAACGGACAGCGCCAGTAGCAGTGGGGCAGACCTCTGGCGCATCGCATGCCCCGCTTCTCCCGACTCCATTATTCATCGGCACCTCTGAACTCTACACCACATCCAACGCTCCATTCCCCGCCATCATTCTATACGCAAAAATAAAGAATCGCTACGTTGACTTTTTGCTCGATACCGGCGCTTCAGCAAATTTCCTCTCTCCCTCAATTGCTGCTGAACTTTCTCTCCCCGAAGATCCCAACAGCAACCCGCAGGACGTGATCATGGCAGATGGTACTCGGCGGCGCTGCGGACCTACTCTCCTCCCTGTGCATTGCATGTTTGGAAGCTTGGAGGCGACGGTCACGTTCGAGCAACTGCACCTCGGCGGGTACGAAGGCGTTATCGGTCGACCATGGTTGCACCAGTTTGGACCGCGGATTTATTGGCGCAACGGAACTGTCACCGTCGGCAACTACGACCTCCCATCCCACTCCTTTCGCCGACCATTGTCATCCCCAACCAGTTCCGCTTCATCAACCCATCCACCCCAACCTGCCCCATCTCCATCTTCCCATATCCCCCCTCTCCCTCCTCCTCGCATAGCTCTCGTGCAGCAGCCAACACCACCCAGCTCCCCCGAAGTGATCAACACACCTCCTCCTTCTCCACCCCACCCAACCCAGCAGCCACGACGTCCCATCATCCGCCCCGCCTCTGAAGTTATCAATCCATCAGCCCCCACCCCTCCATCACCACCTCCTCCTCATCATCTCCTAGTCATCTTCACCGCTCCCAAATCTGAACCATCACCCAACTCTCTCCCATCACCTATACAGAAGTTACTCCAAGGCTACACCGACGTCTTCCCCGAAGATCTTCCCGCCGAACTTCCACCCGAGCGTGCTATTGACCATAACATCCGCCTCATTCCAGGTTCTACACCGCCCGTGCGCCCAACCTATCGCATGAGCACCGCTGAACTTTTGGAGCTCCGACGTCAACTCGATGACCTTCTCGAGAAGGGTTTCATCCGCCCAAGCACCTCACCATACGCTGCCCCCGTGCTTTTCACCCGCAAGAAGGAAGGAGACCTGCGCCTTTGCATCGACTACCGCGCCCTCAACGCCATCACAATCAAGAATAAGTACCCGCTGCCCCGTGTCGAGGATTTGTTCGACATGCTTGGGGAAGCAACAGTTTTCAGCAAGCTCGACCTACGCTCCGGTTACCACCAGATCCGGCTCGCTGAAGACGACATCAACAAGACGGCGTTTCGAACCCGCTACGGCCACTTCGAGTTCCGCGTACTTCCGTTCGGCCTCACCAACGCACCAGCCACGTTCATGGGACTCATGAACGACATTTTTCGGCCCTTCCTCGACCGCTTTGTCATCGTGTTCCTCGATGACATCCTCATTTTCAGCAAGTTACTCGAGGAACACGCTCAGCACCTACGCATCGTCCTCGACACGCTTCGCCAACGCCGCCTCTACGCCAAGCTCTCCAAGTGCACCTTCGCCCGTTCAAGCATCGGCTTTCTTGGCCATGTCATCAGCTCCAAAGGCATTGCTATGGACCCCGCAAAGGTCCAGTGCCTTGCTGATTGGCCAGCCCCACGCACGGTAGCGGAGCTGCAAAGTTTCATCGGCCTCGCCAAGTATTACCGGAAATTCATTTTCAACTTCTCTCACATCTGCGCCCCTTTGACCGATCTCTTCCGTCAAGGAGCTGCCTTTCAATGGGGACTACCGCAGCAGACCGCTTTCAACTCAATCAAATCAGCACTCACCTCTGCACCGGTCCTCACCGTCGCCGACCCTTCACGCCCATACTTCATATGGACCGATGCTTCCGATGCCGCTGTCGGTGCCATTCTTTGCCAAGACCACGGCCATGGGATGCAGCCACTCGCTTTCGAGTCACGCAAGCTTCAGCCGGCAGAGCGCAACTACGCAACACACGATCGGGAGCTCCTTGCCATTGTCCACGCAATCAAGACATGGCGCTGTTACGTGGAGCTGCAGCCCGTCACCGTCTACACCGACCACCGCCCTCTTCAACACTTGAAAACACAGCCCGTGCTCAGCCGCCGCCAAGCCCGATGGGCTGAGTTTTTGGAGCAGTTCGTACCCTCACTTCAGATTATCTACCGCCCCGGAAAACTCAACCCAGCCGACATCTTGTCCCGACCACCACCACCAGCCCCACCACCCACCGACCAGCCCAAACCAACCACCAACCAGCCCCACCACTCCCCAACCAGCCCCACCTCATCACCTCCACCTCACACTCCGAACCCACCCTTGCAACTCCATGGAATCAGCAGCATCACTTGGGATGATACCTTCATCACGAAATTTCAGCGCGCCTACAAACGTGACCTGTTTTTTGTCAAGCAAGCACCCGAGGACCCGGCCTACTCATTTGAAGACCCATTTTGGTACAACACCGTCACCAAGACCATTTGTGTCCCTGCAGATCGCTCCTTACGACAGCTGCTACTCTCCGAATACCACGACACCGTTACCGGCAGCCACTTTGGTGTTGAGAAGACCTACGCACGCCTCTCCAACGACTACCATTGGCCACGCATGCGTGCTGATGTGCGTGACTTCATACGCACCTGCCGCACCTGCCAACAACTCAAAGCACGCACCACCAACCGCTACGGACTCCTTCAGCCCATCCCTCCACCTACCAAAGTGTGGGATGAAGTCACCATGGACTTCATCATGGATCTGCCCCGCACACCCCGCAGCTACAACGCTATCCTAGTCGTCGACGACCGACTCTCCAAAATGAGCCACTTCATTCCTACCCACACAACCGTCACCGCACCCGAAACAGCCCGACTCTTCTTCGATCACATAGTCCGCCTACATGGTCTCCCATCCGCCATCATTTCAGACCGTGACCCCCGCTTCTTGAGTAACTTTTGGCAGAGCCTCTTCAAGCTTCACGGAACCCGGCTGAAGTTTTCTACCGCGTATCACCCTGAAACGGACGGACAAACCGAACGGATGAACCGCACGCTTGAAGACTCCCTCCGTGCACAAGTTACTGCTCGCCAAACTGATTGGGATCTCCACCTCACCGCCATCGAACTCGCATACAACAGCACACCCCACCTTTCCACCGGCCAGCCACCCTTCTACCTCGCAACCGGACAGCACCCCCGCCTCCCCATGACCCCACCCCCCCACCTCTCCCACGCACCAGCAGCCTTTGAGTTCCTCACCTCACTCGAATCAGCCATTGATGCCGCTCGCACCTCCATCCTTAAAGCTCAAGCCAAACAGACCCACTATGCCAACTCCCACCGCAAATATATACGCTTCAAGGTTGGCGATCAAGTGTTACTCTCCACTGACCACCTACCTCTCCTACGCAAAGGCACAACCAGAAAACTCGCCCCTCGCTTTATTGGCCCGTTCACCATCACCCGAGTCCTCTCACCAGTCACCTACCGTCTCCAACTGCCCAGCTATATGAAGATTCACCCCGTCTTCCATGTCCAGCGCCTCCGCCCTTTCCGTGCACCTTCACACGACCGTCCAGCCACACGCCAACTGCCACCGATGTTCGAAGGCAGCCCCGGCCTGTTTGAGGTTGCATCTATCGCTGCACATCGCGACACACCTCATGGTCGCGAGTTTCTTGTTCATTGGAAGGACCAGCCCACTAGTGACGACTCATGGGAACCAGAGAGCCACCTTGACCGTGCCGCAACTGCTGTGAATCGGTATTTGACCAGCCACGGTTTGGCGCCGTGGACGGCGCCACTTGGAGGGGGAAGTAATGTAACAGTGTGGCAGCCGAATGCTGCCAAGTACAGTGCAGGTGGGCGGAAGTCAAGCGCCACCTCACCAACTGTTCGTATTGGTCAAACGCCTCAACCTGCAGCTGGGCGACCAGGTCCTGACGCGCAGCCCAACACAAACCCTCGCGCGAAAATTACGAAACGCAGAACACCGTAGTTCCGACCGCTCGCCGACTTCGCCAACAACACCGACGAAATTACAGCCCCGTAACCAAGCTCGCCGTCCAATCCCGTACCGCAATAATTCTCTGAATTTCACGGCAGGTTCATTTCAAAGGGGTTGGGTTACCATTGAGAAATTCAGAGAGAGTCGCGACTTGGGAGTGCGACTCGATATTTGAATGTGCTCTATAAAATTGTACTGTGAAATTTGTGAAGTCATAGTGCAATTTCCAGAGAACTCCAGAGAGCACTCTATCCTCGTTTTCCTAGCCTACTAAGGCTGCTACTTCCCTGCCAGCAACGTTTCAGAGGGCGGCAAAAATAGTCCCATGCCAAATTCCTCTTAAATCGCTGAGGAACTGTGCGTGAGATAACATGTGCGTGCTAAACGTCAAGCACATGATTCTATGAGAGCTCATATCACTATGTAATGACGAGTAGACCATTGTCGAATGGACAGGTTATTTGACTCGCAATGAGAGATCTTTGTCTGTGACCATCCTCATTAGCTCACAACTACGTAAGCTGCTTCTGGCATAGCTAGATTTTTAGTGGCGATCAGGCATTGTTCGAACGGTTTATTACTGTGACTCGTGCCATGGCGTTGCACAGTCTTTCGCGGAGCTCGCTACCACTCGCGTCGAAGCCTGTCATTGACATTCTGAGATGCCTCGCTTACCCACTGCTGTCCCACGCTCTCACCCACGTATCATCGATCTCCGCGACAACAGCACAGGACGACCAACGAAATGCGAGGGGTCCTAGAACAATCACTGATCGCGATCAAAGACTGGCACTATCTGCGCTACGTGATGCAACCACAGCTGGCATGGCCACTCTTGTTTCGGAAATAATTCACGAAGCTGGACCAGCGGACCGCGAGCCGAGAGGCGAAACCCATGAATTCGGAACACCGCCGTTTAAGAAGCCTACACGTGAGCCAGTAGGATTGGCGGGAGAGGGTCTTGGCTCGAAAACTATCGTCGCGAATCCGCCTACTCGGTCATTCTCGGTTGTTGCCGATTCCGTTATCAAATGCTTCGCAGGGTCGCGTGGGCATTATATGTACCATCAAGACGATCCATATCAGCAACAGAAGTACAGCCACCACCCCTTCTACCAATCTCGACAGTACCAACAACGTCAAGCCTTGGGGGTACCGGCAGCAGCCGCACCAAGGCCAGCAGCAGCAGCTGTTTCAGGAATTCGGCGTTTCTCCCTGCCGTACCCGCGAGGTCCGGGAGGCTGGTCGCAGAACAAAGCGTCGGCGTTTAACAAAGCGTCGTTTTACGACGTGACGGTGGAGAAATACGCGGCGCTGCCGATGACAGCGACGACGATGCAGCACATGATGCAGTTCGGAGAGCAGGTTCTCAAAGACCCCTCCTATCTCCTCCGCCAGGCCAGGTAACACTCCTCCTCCCTCCACACAACCACCCTCCCCCACTGGATAAGTAATCAGTGTTATTTCGCCCGTTTCCCTTCTTTCTCCAGGTCTGTGCACCGTGAGCTGCTAGCCCCCCTGTCATGCAAGGACCGTCCCTTTGCCTATCCGTCCCTGGCCAAGCAATAAGTGCTCCTTTTGCTGTTTTTTTTTTTTGTTTTTTTTTTAATGTGTTTTATTTGTTTGTTTGTTTGTCTGTTTGTTTTCGGCTGTCATTCTCCAGGTTTGTGCACCGCGAGCTGCCCATCCGGCTGGCCAAGCGCCTCATGGATCTTCAATTCCTGCCTTACATCGTCGTCACCAACCCACACATCAAGCAGGTGCCACGTCATCATTTTGTAGATGCCACGTCAGCGTGGCCAACCGCCTCATTGTCCTGACTTGTCCGTTTTTCTCCCCTCATCTGCCTCCTCTCCTCTCACCCCTCTCCGCATATTCCCCTCTCAGGTCTATGACTCTTACTTCAGGGCGCTAGACCTGCTGGTTGCATTCCCTGGGGTGGGGACGCACAAGAACTGATTTTCCCGTCTCTTCCCCTCATGTGCCTCCTCTTCTCCTCCTCTCTCCTCATACCCCCCTCTCAGGTCTATGACTCGTACCGCAGGGCGCTGGACCTGCTGGTTGTATTCCCTGGGGTGGGGACACACAAGAACTGATTTTCTCGTCTCTTTTCCTCCCCCCATCTATCTCCTCTCCTCTCTCCCCTCTCCTCGTACCCCCCTCACTCCAGGTCTATGACTCGTACCGCAGAGCGCTGGACCTGCTGGTTGCGTTTCCTGAGGTGCGGACGCATGAGGACAATGAGAAGTTCACGGAGCTGCTGGCACTGGTGAGAGATGGGTGGAGAGTGGTGGAGGGTGGTGGCAGATGGTTGATGGGTGATGGAAGGGGGTGTTTGCATGTCAATGTTTCCTGTGACGCATGAGGACAATGATAAGTTCACCGAGCTGCTGGCGCTGGTGAGTAATGGGTGATGATGGGTGATGATGGGTGATAGGCGATTTTGAGTGTGTTGGCCCACGGGCGGGGTGAGTGAGCCTTCTCTTCTACCGTTCACAACCTTTCCCCTTTTCCTCATCACTCAATTCATCAGCTAGTCCGCGGGGTGAGGGAGTGCTCCATCCAGCCCCTTACCTCCCATCCCCCTGTCCCACTCTATGCTTCCCTCTCTCCCTCTCCCCTGCGCTCACCTGCACAGCTGGTGGAAGAGCACACACCCCTTATAGGCGTGCTGGCACGTGGTGTGAGGGAGTGCTCCATCCGGCCACTGGTGGGGCGAGAACTCAATCTCGACAGCTTCCTTGATAACATGTGAGCCAGGCAGCCAGGCAGCCAGGTCAGGTAGACTGAGAGAGCACAGAGCGCCAAGAAACTCATAGGCAGGCCCCAAGCCCCTCATAGGCGTGCTGGCCCGAGGGGTGCGGGAGTGCTCCATCCGGCCGCTGGTGGGGCGAGAGCTCAACCTCGACAGCTTCCTTGATAACATGTGCGTGCCCTTGATCGGATCGGATCTGATATGATATGATATGATATGATATGATATGATCATATTCTCGATCGTCCAGAGGCAACTGCACGCCGTAGGGCTGGGATGCTCATTTACATGGTATATAGATGGAACTTTGCTGTTCTTCCATGATGCAGTGTAGCTTGTACATGTTGATTGCTGTGTTTATAGACTGTCTTCCTTTGTGTCTGTCCTGGCAGGTTGCGGTCTCGTATCAGCAGAAGGGTGGTGGCAGAGCAGCATATTGCACTGCAGCAGAAGAGACCAGGGTACATCGGTGTTATCTGCACCAACGTGAGTGGGAAGTGCTTGTGCCTCTCTTGAGTGGATTTGGAGTAGGAAAAAAAACTCAATCTGAGGCAGGGTGGTGGCAGAGCAGCACATCGCCCTTCAGCAGAAGAGGCCAGGGTACATCGGGGTCATCTGCACTAACGTGAGTGAGAAGTGTGTGTGCCTCTCTTGAGTGAATTTGGAGTAGGAAACAGAACGCACTCCGAGGGAGGGTGGTGGCAGAGCAGCACATCGCCCTGCAGCAGAAGAAACCAGGGTATATCGGTGTCATCTGCACTAACGTGAGTGAGTGGGGGGGCTTGTGTTGACCCACACTGTATCTGCACAGAAGTTCAGTGAGTGTTGGTGGCAGAACAGCATATGGCATTGCAGCAGAAGAGACCAGGGTATATCGGGGTTATCTGCACCAACGTGAGTGAGTGTGCTTGTTGCGGCTCACCCTTCGTTTGTACCTATCACTCATGTGACCCGTCTCTCAACTTTACCTTCAGCTGTGACCATGATTGGTGAAGGGGTTTTAGAAAGTCGCAATATCCCTTCTCCCTGAGGTTGTAAGCTTGCGGGGTGACTCTTGAATTGACTTGACGGCAGGGAACGCTAAGCTTCGAAGCCTTCAGTTGTCGGCATGGGTTTCAGATGCTTCGAAGCTTCGAAACCCAATGCATCGAGTTTCAGATTCACTGGATGTGTGTACTCGAGGTGACTTTTGAGTCGACTCAAAAGTCACCTTCAGTTGTCGGCATGGGTTTCAGATGCACTGGATTTTTGAGGCGCCTCAAAAATGTCGGCATGGGTTCCAGATGCACTGGATGTGTGCACTCGAGCGTTTGGCTGCTGCCTTTTCCTTGAATCAGTATCCTTCCTCGTCCTACTCCCGTCTCCTCCTCATCACCATCTTCAGATGTCAGCGCGGGAGGTGGTGGAGGATGCAGTGGAGGAGGCGACAGACATGCACGAGGACGTTCGGCTGCCGCCTTTCCCTTAACTTCTGTATCATTACCCTTCCCACTCCCATCTCTTGTCATCATCGTGATGGTCTGTAGATGTCAGCACGGGAGGTCGTTGAAGACGCAGTGGAGGAGGCAACTGACATGTGCACGATGACGTTCGGCTGCTGCCCTTTCCCTGACTGTTCACTGTTCCCCTTCCCACTCCCAGTTCTCATCTTCTTTCCCCTTCGCCATTATCAGATGTCAGCGCGGGAGGTGGTGGACGATGCAGTGGAGGAGGCCACTGACATGTGCACGCGGACGTTCGGCTGCTGCCCTTTCCTTGAGTCTTTACCTTTCCCCTCCCACTGCAATCTCTCCTCGTCACCTCATCATCCTCAGATGTCAGCACGGGAGGTCGTTGAAGACGCAGTGGAGGAGGCGACAGACATGTGCACGAGGACCTTTGACTGCCTTGAATCTTTACTTTTTCCACGTACTCGTATCTCTCCTCGTCACCTCATCATCCTCAGATGTCAGCACGGGAGGTCGTTGAAGACGCAGTGGAGGAGGCGACAGACATGTGCACGAGGACCTTTGACTGCCTTGAATCTTTACTTTTTCCACGTACTCGTATCTCTCCTCGTCACCTCATCATCCTCAGATGTCAGCACGGGAGGTCGTTGAAGACGCAGTGGAGGAGGCGACAGACATGTGCACGAGGACCTTTGACTGCCTTGAATCTTTACTTTTTCCACGTACTCGTATCTCTCCTCGTCACCTCATCATCCTCAGATGTCAGCACGGGAGGTCGTTGAAGACGCAGTGGAGGAGGTGACAGACATGTGCATGAGGACCTTTGACTGCCTTGAATCTTTACTTTTTCCACGTACTCGTATCTCTCCTCGTCACCTCATCATCCTCAGATGTCGGCACGGGAGGTCGTTGAAGACGCAGTGGAGGAGGCAACAGACATGTGCACGAGGACGTTTGGCTGCTGCCCTGAGTTCGTGCTCACAGGGGATCTCAACACCTCATTTGCGTACATACCCTCACACCTGCATTACATGCTGTTTGAGATTCTCAAGGTGAGTCTGTTCTGTACCCCTTGGTTAGCTCTTTGGCTGCTGTCCTGAGTTCGTGCTCACAGGCGATCTCAACGCCTCTTTTGCTTACATCTCCCCTCACATCTGCATCACATGCTCTTTGAGATTCTCAGGTTGAGCCCTGTCTGTACTCAGTTAAAGTTCTGTAGTTGCTGTCCTGAGTTCATGCTCACAGGGACCTCAATACCTCGGTCGTCTACACCCCCTCGCATCTGCACTGCAAGCTCTTGGGAATTCTCAAGAGAGGGCTGGTTGTAATCCCTATGAAGTGTGTCTTGCCACCTTTGCATATACCCCCTCGCATCCCCACTACAAGCTCTTTGAGATCCTCAGAGTGTGAAGCAGTTGGTACTCGTTATAAGGATCCTCGTATTTTGAGTTGGGTAAAGCTTAATTTTGTTGGGCACCATAAGGACGGGTCCCGAGCAAGTGTGGAGCATCACACAGACCAATCAGAGGACTCGCACCTCGCATCGCATCCCCCACGTGCCTCTTTCGTCCTTCCACACCCGTCGATCCAATCAGAACGCGTCCCGAGCAATAGTGGAGCATCACACAGACCAATCAGGGGACTCGATGCCCTCCTCTTCAGCCAAGTTCCCCCCCGTTATAATCACTGTCTGCTCCGGCTCAAACGAAGTTACGATCAAGGTAAGTCCGTGCCCCCCATTTGCTGTAAAAGCAGTTTTGTGTTTCTTTGTGGGCCAATGCATCCCCCCAACCCCAGATCCCCAGTCAAGAATCCAACCTAGTCACAATCAAGGTGACTACCTGTTGTATGAGCTTTTTTCTGTTCCAGTCAACCCTCCAAATGTTGTCAGAGCGGTGTTGTGTTCTGATTCAGCCCAATTTGCCCTTAAGTATGGCTACAGGCTGCTGCGTGAAGCCACAACTGTTTGACCCATCATTCTATCCATCCATCCATCCATCCATCCATCCATCCATCCATCCATCCATCCATCCATCCATCCATCCATCCATCCATCCATCCATCCATCCATCCATCCATCCATCCATCCATCCATCTATGCACCCCTCCCTCCAGCATATTTGCTGGAACCAAGTGCACCCGTTCTTTCCCCCTCCTCCATTGCCCATCCCATCACCCGTCCCATCACCCATCCCATCACCCGTCCCATCACCCGTCCTATCACCCGTCCCTTCACCCATCCCATCACCCATCCCTTCACCCATCCCTTCACCCATCCCTTCACCCATCCCTTCACTCATCCCTTCACCCATCCCTTCACCCATCCCATCACCCATCCCATCACCCATCCCTTCACCCATCCCTTCACCCATCCCTTCACCCATCCCTTCACCCATCCCTTCACCCATCCCTTCACCAGGTGTCTGATTTGGGAGGCGGCATTCCAGAGAAGCTTCAAGCCAAGGTGAGGCGACAGCAAGTGGGAGGAGAGGGACAGAGGCATGAAGGGGGGGGGGGGGGATTCGTAAAGGGGGGGGTGGGAGAGGGAGAAGGGGAGGGTGGGGGGGGGTTGTAAGACATCCCAAGACCGCACCCATCTTTCATGCCATCAGGCTCCTGATGTGTGCACCCCGCTTGGCCATGTGGATACTCGTTTGTGGAGGGTGGGGCCATCAGTCGGACCCACCCCATGGATGCCAGCTCTCAAGTGCACATGAGAGCACCCATGTCTTCTCATGTGCTCATGTCCTATAACCTCCCTACACCCCCTCGTTGCAACCCAGCCTCCCACCTGCCCATCTCTACTCCTCAATGCAGGGGTGGGGGCGTCAGTGGCGCCCATCCCACTCTCATCGATGCCAGCTGTCATGTGCTGCTGCTGTTTTTTTGGGGCGCCTCGAGATTGCATGTTGGCTGTGCGCTGCTGCACGTACACCACGCCAGCCGTATAACCCCTCTCCACCCACCCTTCAACCTGTCTCCCTCCCACCTGCCGCCCGCCCATCCATTGCCAGGTGTGGCGCTATGGGTACTCTTCGGTGGAGGGTGACGTCAGCACGTCTAGCACCCTGAGATCCGCAGGTAAGGCTTATGGCCGGCCTGGGACTTGTTTGTGAGGCGCCTCATGGCCAGGCCGGTCTGGGACTTCTTTTGGGATTCGGGCTGGGCTGTGATTCGGGCTGGGCTGGGATTCGGGCTGGGCTGGGATTCGGGCTGCTTGTTTGTCACTGAGGTGACCTCCTCAACCCGCCAACCAGCCCCCTTGCTCCTAAACAGCCGGTGGCCCTGTGGACTCCCAAGGGACGCCCATGACGGGTGGGGTTCGAGCTGCCTTGTCGATGCCCCTCAACCCACCATCAACTCCCCTGGCCCCGGATCAACAAATCAACTAAGCCCTCTTCTCCCCCCTCTCACCCCACCACCACCAACCAACTACCCACCCCTTCACCAGCTGGTGGTCCTGTGGACTCCCAAGGGACGCCCATGGGGGGGCTGGGGTTCGGGCTGCCTCTTTGCCAGAACCCCCTCCACACCCTCCCTTCCCCCCCCCCTCTCACCAGCTGGTGGTCCTGTGGACTCCCAAGGGACGCCCATGGGGGGGCTGGGGTTCGGGCTGCCTCTTTGCCAGAACCCCCTCCACACCCTCCCTTCCCCCCCCCCCTCTCACCAGCTGGTGGTCCTGTGGACTCCCAAGGGACGCCCATGGGGGGGCTGGGGTTCGGGCTGCCTCTTTGCCAGAACCCCCTCCACACCCTCCCTTCCCCCCCCCCCTCTCACCAGCTGGTGGTCCTGTGGACTCCCAAGGGACGCCCATGGGGGGGCTGGGGTTCGGGCTGCCTCTTTGCCAGAACCCCCTCCACACCCTCCCTTCCCCCCCCCCTCTCACCAGCTGGTGGTCCTGTGGACTCCCAAGGGACGCCCATGGGGGGGCTGGGGTTCGGGCTGCCTCTTTGCCAGAACCCCCTCCACACCCTCCCTTCCCCCCCCCCTCTCACCAGCTGGTGGTCCTGTGGACTCCCAAGGGACGCCCATGGGGGGGCTGGGGTTCGGGCTGCCTCTTTGCCAGAACCCCCTCCACACCCTCCCTTCCCCCCCCCCCTCTCACCAGCTGGTGGTCCTGTGGACTCCCAAGGGACGCCCATGGGGGGGGTGGGGTTCGGGCTGCCTCTTTGCCAGAACCCCCTCCACACCCTCCCTTCCCCCCCCCCTCTCACCAGCTGGTGGTCCTGTGGACTCCCAAGGGACGCCCATGGGGGGGCTGGGGTTCGGGCTGCCTCTTTGCCAGAACCCCCTCCACACCCTCCCTTCCCCCCCCCCTCTCACCAGCTGGTGGTCCTGTGGACTCCCAAGGGACGCCCATGGCGGGGCTGGGGTTCGGGCTGCCTTACTCGCGGTTGCTTGCGCAATATCTTGGTGGCAATATCGAGGTGTGCATTGCGGTATTGAGGTATGGATGGAGGTATTGAAGAGCGCATGGACGTACTGAGGTGTGGGTCACGATGCTGAGGTGTGAGGGCACTATTGAGGTACAAATGGCAACATTGAGGTGAGGAGTAGGATGTAAATCTGGGGTGCAGTGTCTTGGGTTCATTCTCTTGGGTTCATTGCATCGTCATTATCTGCCTTTACGCTAATTACCGTATTTGAATCGTGCACTGATTTCCCACACGCGCTTCCATTCTTTTGCATAGTACCGTAGTATTATGACATACATCGAATCTCCCTTGCCTCCGCTGTTTGCTTCAAATTCCCTCACGTCATGTCCCTGTATACTTTCACAAATCCCAGATGGTTAGCATTCCAGGCTACGGCACAGATGTGTATGTGAGGGTGCGGCGGGTCGTTGACCAGACAGAAGCCGTGGAGATCTGAAAGTGAGATGTACAACTGATGGCCTGTTTCGGTGTCCCCACATGTGCTAACAAGTTGATGCTATGCAAGGATGAATCATGGATGCGTAACTAAACATAAAACTTCCCATTCTTTTTTGTTCTTGTCGATACTTTATAAAAGCTTGAGGCTAATAATCAAAAGCCCCAAAATGGCAACAGCTTGATGCCCTTCAAGACTTGAACATAAGGTCTTCTGGCACTGATAGAATGTTCACTTTACACGACCCTAAACCCTCGTCAGTTGGACAAATTTCTAGTGGCTTTTATACGTACAGAATCTGATGACCCAGTAAAATGTTGCCATTTCAGCTGGACTGGTCAGCCTCCAAATAGCTCGTACTTGTACGACGACCCTGAAAAGGTGTCGAGCCGTATTCAAAAATTGGTCTCAAAGAACTGCACGGCACAAGGGACACATCTGAAGCTAAATCGTTTAACCCCTAGTGGGTTCTCGTGGATTGGTTGACATTGGGCGACAGCGACTTCGGGACATGAAACCAGAACTGAGACAATGGTTTAGAGTAGGCGCTCCAACATGGAACAAGAACAAATTTGATCAACCCGCTGCTCCCGATTCTCGAGCCGCGGCGTGGTGAGGATTGCTGGCCACGGACCACGGCCCACCAGTTTCCGCGGCTGTGCTCCATGTACATTCCTCCTCCGTCCGTGTCGCCCATAGTGGACAATTCTCACGAAATGCCGAGCGATTGGCTTGTTCCCAGTCAGCTGGGTGAACAAATCACCAGCAGTGGTTTGCTGACGGGACCAATGCACCAATCGCAAGCAAATGCTGGTCGGGATGTGGAGATAACAAGGTGTACGGTATCATGTCAGGAGCAAGCCGAACGTACGTGCCATCGTACAGTGCGGCTCTGGCACAGAAGCACCGCGATCGTACGATGCTTCTGCAGGCATCCTGCTTTGGATCTCTGCTCTGAACTGCACGTACAGATGTGTTTCTTGGACATGTAAACTTGTACTAAGCAAAACTGAAACCGGGAGTTGCACCGCTGTTGACAAGAAGGCTCCACTCTACCACACTGATTCCAGCCTGTTTCTCATGCTCCTTACCTCCCTCCATCAACCTTTTTCCCCCGTTCTTTCTCGCGACGTTCAGTCAATTGGCATTCTCCAGCTGACGGTTCTTATGTTGCTCGCCACTCGGAGATTTTTTAGGCCGCTACTGGTATCTGGAGTAGCTATCGGCCAGCTGCCCCGCCGCCACGTCATTTCGTCAGAAAAGCCTCCCCTTTCCAATTGTGTGAGAGAAAGGCTCGGCTCGTACAGTACTGTACGACAGAAAGGACTGAAACAGTGCGGAAAGGAAAGAGCACGAGAAACAGAACGAGAATCCTCGAGCTTTGCGACAGACTACCTATAGAGCTTCTATCCGCTTTCTTGTTCGGCGTGGAGCTTTTTGGAACAACGATCGGAAGGAACAGCGAGATACTACTCGAGATTTCTGGCTTGCTGTCACCGAAGGATATAAAGGACTCCGCTAGTGCTACTCGTCTGTGGACTTATCTCCTGGTCGTTTTCTCACTCCCCGCGCCTCGTTCGTGTTGCCTTGGGACGTAACCTGGAGCTCTACTAGGGACGGTTTGTCCACATTGCCTCGACCTCCCTTTTTCTCCGATTCCCACTTCACACTTTTAAGATTCTACAGAAGTCACTTACAGATCGGGTGCATAGACGCCTAGAAGCAGCAAACATTGGAGATAAAAAGGGAAGCATAATTGACCATAGTGGACTTTCCCGACCGCACCCAGCCATCCAATCAAAGGGGCCTACCTTGTCCTATCCTGCTAATCCGTTTGGTGCGTTCTGGTCTGACACATATTCGCAACACTTCGCATTCGGGTAAACTCATCTGGTTACCGCGTAACCGGCAGCAGCAGCAGCCATGGATCACGACATGAGCGCCATGGGTCACGACATGAGCTCCATGGGCGGAGGCTCCGCATCTGGCGGAGCTGACACCTCCAGCCCCAGCTACGACCCGGATTCTCCTCCCACCAGCAGCAGCGCATCTGGCGGAAGCATGTCGATGATGATGATGCAGATGTGGTTCTACTGGGGCCCGAACGTGATTATATTGTTCGAGAGTTGGAAAACGAGCAGTTGGGGTTTCTATCTGCTCGCGTGCTTCCTCGTCGTTGTCTTCTGCGTGCTTCACGAGTTCCTCACGTCGTTCCGGCTGAAGCTGTCCGCCACTCGCCGATGCCGCGTGAAGGACGCCGAGCAAGGGTAAGTGAAGCTGATGTGGTTTTCTCCCTTGCTCTTCCTCCCTCCACCTCCCTCCTCTCATCCTCCCTCCTTTTGAATCCATCGATCCCTCCCCCTTGCCTGTTTTCACCGTGGTCGTCCTCGCCGCCGCTATTGCCGCTCCCTCTCCCGTTTGCCCCTTGTATCGCCCTCCATCGCACTCTTCACTCTCTTTTCACTGCTCTTGCTCCTCTCTCTTCACTCCCTCTTGCTACACTCACTACCACTCCCTCTTGCTACACTCACTACCACTCCCTCTTGCTACACTCACTACCACTCCCTCTTGCTACACTCACTACCACTCCCTCTTGCTACACTCACTACCACTCCCTCTTGCTACACTCACTACCCTTCCTTTTGCTATACTCACTACTCTTCCTCTTGCTATACTCACTGTCACTCCCTCTTGCAACTTTCAGTACCACCCTCCTGACTTTGCCCTCCAACCTCCCCCACTCCCCTCTCCAATGCTGACGACACCGACGCCAGCAGCACCAACAAGGTCCCCTCATCGAGCAGGATACGAGCTAAGTGGCTCCTTCTCCCTCCTCCCTCTCCCTCCCTGTTTCTCTCCCTCATCGCTCTCCTCCCTCTCTCCTCCCTCTCCTTCGTCCTCTCCCTCTCCCACTCACCTCTCCTTCCAGTGCCGATGACACCGACGCCGCCAGCAGCAAGAAGGCCTGCCTCTGGCGATCCCTCCTTGAGCAGGATGCGAGCTAAGTGGCTTCATCCCTCTCCCTCCACCCCCTCCCTCCTCCCTCCACCCCCTCCCTCCGCCCTCCACCCTCCCGCTCTCCTTTCCAGCGCTGACAGCGCCGACGCCACCAGTAGCAAGAAGGTCGATTGGAGATCCCTCCTGGACCGCCTGGCAGTGACGGGCATATACGCGCTCAACCTCATATTCAGCTATGCGATCATGCTCATTGTCATGAGCTTCAACATCGGCCTCTTTATCGCGGTCGTTCTCGGCCTCACTATTGGCTTCTTCTTTTTTGGAGCCAAGAGGCGGAAGACCTCGTCGGAAAGGCCGCTTGTTGAGGAGGCGCAGGAGGAGAATTGCTGCGGGACTTCTGACGCGTGCTGCGCCGCTCCATAAAGGGGATGATATGGGGAGAGGCTTTTGACAAACTTGGAATGGTTTAGCGTGTAGGCAGGAGGAAGAGCAGAGCGAAGCGTGGTGAGGTGCAAATCAGCCATCTCGTCGCAGCAGAGCGAAGTGTGGTGAGATGCTGCTGCTTTTATTCTGACGGGTTGCTCACACATGGGGACATAGGATGCTGTCATTATGTGGTGGGAGAATCGGGACATTTAGTGAGTCAGTCAGAGCAGGAAGAAAGGCCATGCGGTGCTAAGCTATGTTCTGGATGGGTTTGGTTTGCGATGTGTACGCTCTGCCAACTGCTATGGTGCATCCTTGTGTACGGTGGTTTCATGGTTATGTAAATTGATGAAGAAAGGTGGACTCGTTTCATAATTGCCTGCTGATACAACTTTTATTGAAACAGATGACGTGAAATTGATGAGGAAAAAGAATCCGACAGGAGAAGCGAGATACTGTAGGATCAGAAACGTGAAGGAGTAGGGAAGGAAGTGGGCAGGGCCATTTTATCAGGGTAAATCACCCTGATGCCCTGATTATCAGGGTGGTTTTCGGTAGTAACACTGATGCGGTAGGGTAATTTTCTAGGAACCTTGATTTACCCTGATGTGCCAGGCTTTACGATTAAGGAGCACTGTCGCCTCAGGGTTGCCGTTCCTGTTCTCGAGTTTTACCCTGAAGCGAGTACCAGCCAACCCCCGCGCGTCCCGCCCCCCCCCTGTCAGAATCAAGAAGTGATGAACTAGAAAGTTGTTGGAGTACAAGTAGGAAACCCTAGTGAAATGTACCCCCTAAAGGCTAACCCACTGTAGCCTACACAACAGAAACATATATAATGTTTGACACACCCCCATTGGCAAAGTGGGGGAGAGCAAGGGGTCACAAGACCAGTCAAGAAAGGCAAGCAAGCTCAGGGTGGATCACAACGTCACCACACACTCTGAGCACAAGCAAAGGGCCACAAGGCCAGTTCACATGCAGAGGCATATATGTAGCACAAGCATCACAGTGATCTATATCTAGCAAGCATGCAGGTGTATATATATAGATCACAGTACAGGCAAAGTCTACAACAAGTGAGGAAAAGCGGGCACAAGCCCTAACAAAGTGCAGAAACGCTGATGATCACCAGACTGAAGTGCCTTGGTGAATATATCAGCAGTGTTGGCCTGTGTGGCCACGTAACGCAGACGAAGCTGACCACGCTGCTGCAACTCTCGAGCCAGAAAGTACCGTAGAGCGATGTGCTTCGTTCTGTGCTCCAGTCTGTGCTCCTCATACAAGGCAATGGCAGCCTTGTTGTCGACGTACAGCACTGGAGGAGAACGAGGCCGCTCTCCCAGGTCGGTCAGCACGTAGGTGAGCCAGCGTAGCTCCTGTGCAGCCATGGCTGTGGCGTAGATCTCAGCCTCACAACTAGAGCTGAGAACTGAGGACGAACGTGTAGAACGCCAAGAAACTGAGCCAGAGCCAAGACTGAAGGTGTAACCCTGTGACGACCGCTGAGTAGCCTGGTCGTCAACCCAAGAAGCGTCTGAGTGCCCAGTGAGAACAACTGGGCTCCCTCCTCCAAGCACGAGCCCCATGACCGATGTACTGCACAAGTAGCGCAATACCCTCTTTGCAGCATCCCAGTGCACCTTTCGGTGCTTACCAGGAGCCACGTAATGGGCCAGAAGGCCAAGAGGGTACGCTAGGTCAGGACGAGTGCAAGTCATCAGGTACATGAGGCAACCAACTAGCTCTGGGTAGGGACCACTCGGCTCTACGGACTCATCCGAAGGCAGAGCTGAGAGCGAGTGACCTATAGCCAGAGGAGTGGCCTGTGCTGAGGACCAGGTGAAGCCGAAGCGCTAAAGGACCTGCTGCACCATGTGTGACTGAGTCAGTGTGATGGTGCGGCGTGCTCTGTCCCGGGTGATCTGCAAGCCAAGGTAGCTGCGCAGTTCACCCAGGTCTGTGCACGTATGTCTCTTCTGCAGCTCCGACTTCACGTGGGCGAGAGCCTCAGTGTCAGCAGTGGCAAAGACCAAGTCGTCGACGTACACGAGGATGTAGAATGGCGGCAGCGAAGTGTCGGTGCGCAGAAACAGCGACGGGTCAGCAGTAGAATTCGTGAACCCAAGTGCCGCAAGAGTAGTCCCCAGTGTGTCGTGCCACTCACGTGGCGCCTGGCGGAGACCGTAGACCGGCCGCCGGAGGCTCCACTGGGTACCAGGAGGAAACGACCCAGTGAAGCCAGGAGGGCGGCGCAGCTAGATCTCCTCGTGCAGGCTGCCCTGCAAGAAAGCTGTGCTGAAGTCAAGAGAGTGAAGCTCGTAGTCACGCTGAGCAGCAACGTGCAGTAGCACCCGAAGAGTGGTCATCTTCGGGGTGGGGGAGAAGGTCTGAAAGAAGTCTACTCCCTCTCGCTGACTGAAGCCTCGAGCAACGTAACGAGCCTTGAAGACAGGCGGAGAACCCGGCGGCCGCTTCACCCTGAAAATCCACATGCCACTGACGATGTTCGCCCCAGGAGGGGGAACCTCGTCGACGTAAGTGCCAGTGGACTTCCAGGATGCCATCTCTGCGTCCATGGCTGACTGCCACTGTGAGGAGTAGGGACCCTCGATCGCCTCAGCGTACGATCGAGGAGTCGGGATGTCTGGTGCATCCGGGTCTCCCTCAGGGGCAATCAGCGTGGACGCGAGATGAGGCAAAGCAGCAGCAAAACACTGGAACTCCTCCTGCCTGTCCTCAAGGACGTCCGTGCTAAGAGCACACTCACCCCCGACGGACGGAGGACAGACAGACTCAGACTCAGCAACAAGACTAGCAGCGTAGTCTAGACGACAGCGAGCAGCAAAGTCGACAAGCTCAGCAACCAAGGCAGACGCAGCAGTGGACTCAAAGGAAGGGTCAGTGACAACAGTAGCCAGGAGACGCGTGACAGTAGGACTGGCAGCACGAAGAGAGTCAGACTCCGGGTCAGCAAGAACAGGAAGAGAGGACTCTGGAGGAGACGGCAACGGGACACGCAGAGGAGCAGTGGAAGGACGCAATGCCATCTGGTGTGTGCCTGGGACCGCAGGAGGACGCGGACGCGGAGCACGACTACTAGTGCGAGCAGCACGAACAGGCGACGCAGGACGAGACGCAGGCTCACGACGCTCAGCAAGACCTCCAGTAGGACCAGTGTAGGGAGAAGGAGCAGGCGGGGGGGAGGCGGGCTGTAACTGTGACCGCGACTGGACAGGCTGTGGACACTCTAAAGGAGGAGCAGGACCAGTAGAGAGCGGGAGACCAAGAACCTGCTCAAGGAGCGGAACGAAGTACGGCCGCGGCCGCGCAGCGCCTCCAGAACCAGCAGGGACAGCACCAGTACCCCCAGCGGCAGCACCAGCGCCAGCAGCACCTCTAGCTCCAACAGCGCCAACTCCAGTAGCCCCAGCAGCACCCCCAGTCCCAGCAGCTCTAGTACCGCCAGTACGAGCACCTCCAGGACCAGCAGCAACAGTAGCACCTCCAGCTCCAGCAGCACGGCTCCAGCGCCGGGCAAACCACTCGCGCAGCTCCTGCGGAGAGGGTGGCTCCCGCCTCGACGAAGCACCGCCAGAGGCCACACGAGCAGACCCAGCACCCCCAGGCTCCGCACCCCCAGGCTCAGCACCCCCAGGCTCCGCACCCCCAGGCTCAGCACCCCCAGACCCGGCACCCGCAGGCTCAGCACCCCTAGACTCAGCACCCCCAGGCTCCGCACCCCCAGGCTCAGCACCCCCAGACCCGGCACCCACAGGCTCAGCACCCCTAGCAGCACCAGAGTCAACAGCTACCTCGACAGGCTCGACTGCGTCTACCTGGGACACACCTGACGGGGCAGGACCCTGAGGGGGGAGAGGGTCTACCGGGGGAGGACCTGGTGCAAGGAAGAGCGGCGGCGGGGGGAGGGGCGCAGTGAGGTAGGGGAAGAGACGGTAGTAAGGCACCGACTCGTCAAAGGTGACGTCCTGGGAGGACAGAACACGGCGCGAGGTGGGGTGGTAAAACTGCCAACCAGGCGCGTCAGGGGGGAAGCCAAGGAAGACGCAGGGAACCGCACGGGGGGACAGCTTGTCCGCAGACAAGTCGCGGACAAACGCCCGAGATCCCCAGACACGAAACGCAGACGCATCGCCAACCTTCCCCGTCCACCGCAAGGTGGGGGAGGTCTCTGGCAAGGAGACCCGGGGCTGAAGGTTGAGCTGATGCGCTGCGTACTGAACCGCAAACGGCCACAGAAAATGGGGAGCAGCCGCATGGATCATGGACGTACGAGCGACGTCCATGACCATGCCAATGCGGCGCTTAGCAATCCCATTTTGCTGTGGAGAGGCCGGAAGCGTGAAGGTCTGGCGGATGCCCTGTGCACGACAGAAGGCTCCCAGACGGGCAGAGGAAAACTCCCCGCCTCTGTCAGAGTGCAGACGCAGAACAGGAAAGTCCGAGCCGAAACTCTCTCTGAGCTGGAGACGAGCCGCGCGGATCCAGTCGATCAACACCTCAGTGACGTCACCCTTGCTGCGCAAGGGGAACACCGTGGTGTAACGCGAGTAGTCGTCAACCACCAACAGGAAGTAACGCTCGTGACCCGAGTCAAGGGTGAAGGTGTGTAAGGCTTGAGCCGACGTGGTACCTGAGAGAGCAGACTCACCAGCACCTGGGGCAGCAGACGCACTAGCACCTAGAGCAGCAGCCTCACCAGCACCTAGAGCAGCAGCCTCAATGCCCGGGTCAGGCGGAACACACAGGTAACAGTCACCCTCATCACTAGTAGGCAATGCATACATGGTGTTGGTGCAACCCTACGGTTTGCACTCGGCTTGTTGTCCGTGTGCGTGAATGTGTGTGTGTATGGAATGGTATGAGGGCATGGGATAATATATATTTCATGCTTATAATTGTGTGTGAATGTTGAGTCATGATGTCGAGTGTGTGTGTCGAGTCAATAGCGAGTTATCGCTAGACGCGTGTTACGCGGT